GATTTCACAGGTGTATGCATATGCCCAAATGCATCAACTCGTACACTTCAAATATGTGCAGTTTTTGTATATCAATCATACCTCAATAAATCTGTTTTTTTAAACTTTAAACATAAAGATGTGAATAAGTTAAAAGAATGGAAAATATATTCCATTCAAACACTAATCAAAAAAATGTTGGAATGATGATACTAATATCAGACAAAGATTACAGAACAAAGAATATCACTCAAGATAAAGAAGATCCTTTCATAATGATAAAGTATTTAATTCATCAAGAGTACATAATAAACCTAAATGTTTATGTACCTAATAACAGAGCATCAGAAGACATGAACCAAACACTGATAAAATGGCAACAAAAAATACACAAATGTCTGTAATTTCAAAACTACTCTCTCATTAATTCATAAAATTAGTAACATAAAATCAGTAAAGATATAGGAAATTGGAACACTATCAACCAACTTCACCTAATTTACCTAACAGGGTAATCCACCCCAAAATAGAATTCACATTTTTTTTTCTAATGAACTTGAAAATATACCATATTCTGGGCCACAAAAAATCTTAATATATTTTTAAAAAATTAAGTCATACAAAGGATGTTCTTTGAAGAAAAATGAAGTAAAATAAAAAACAGAAAGCTATCTGGAAAATACCCAAATATTTGGAAACTAAGAATACACTTCTAAATAACCTGTGGGTCAAAAAGAAATCAAAAACGAAACTAGAAAGAATTTTCTGCTGAATGAAAATGAAAAGACAAGATATAAAAATTTGTGGGATGCCACTAAAGCAGTTCTAAGAGGGGAAATATACAGCACTACAAGTATATATGAGAAAATAACAAAGGTTGCAAAACAATAATCTTAGCTTCCACTTAAGAAACTAGCAAAAGAAGTGAAAATTCAACCCAAAGTAAGCAGACCTTGGGAAATAGTAAAGATCAGAGTAGAGATCAATGAAATGGAAAACAGAAAGCAATGCAAAACTCAATCAATCCAAAATTTGGTTCTTTGAAGAGATCAATTAAATTAATAAACATCTTACCACGGTGATTAGGGAGAAAAAAAATTAAGATACAATTTACCAATATCAGAAATGAGAGCAGTGAAATCACTAAGGATTGCACAGATAACAACGAATGTTACAGTGTTATGCCGATAATTTTGCAACATAAATTTTAAAAATCCTTGAAAGACAAACTGTCAACGCTCACTCAAAAAGTAATCGAGGATTTCAGCAAAAATGGCAGCGTAAGGATATCCAAAAATTTATCCCCCCATAAAAACAAAAAGAAAACGGACAAACTATAAAAATCTACATTTCTGAAAACTGTGAAGACTACTGAAAGTCTTTCAGCAACCTGGGAGGCTTTTTCATGAAAGTTGAAGGACTGTCAATAAGAACGGTCAGTTTTGTTTGTTTTAACTTACCCGTATCCCATCCCCTGCTCCCAGAACTATGGTAGCCTTGGGAAAAACAAAAACAAAAACAAGTTTACATTCCAAGTACTATAGGGAGAAAAACTGGGCTGGAGCACTTTCAAACCCTCATTCCCCAAAACAGCCATTATTATTTTACCTCTCTCTCTCTCTTTTTTTTTTTTTTTTGTTTGTTTGTTTTTTGCAGTACGCGGGCCTCTCACTGTCGTGGCCTCTCCCGTAGCGGAGCACAGGCTCCAGACGCGCAGGCTCAGTGGCCATGGCTCACAGGCCCAGCCACTCTGTGGCATGTGGGATCCTCCCGGACTGGGGCACGAACCCGTGTCCCCTGCATCGGCAGGTGGACTCTCAACCACTGCGCCACCAGGGAAGCCCTACCTCTCTCTTTAAGACAGAAGAACCTTGGAAGAAGCCACTGAAAGGCTTTTTTTATTTTGTCTAATTCAGAACTCTTGCCTAGTACTCAAGCCACTCTTGGGGAAAGAGTCATTTGTCAAAAACTATCCAGGCAAATGTTTAGTTGCTTCTGACTGAAAGTCCATGACCATGACAAGAAAAACCATGCCCAAGTCAGCTTTATCTCAGCAATGCAAGGTATATTTAATATTCAAAAATCAATCACCATAACTCACCAACAGATTAAAATGGAAAACCACACCATCATTTCAATAGATGCAGGAAGTGTTTGGTAAAACCTAACATTCTTGATAAAAAACAAAACAAAACAAAGCAAAACCAAAAACTCTCAGCAATTAGTGAAATGCCTAGTACTATGGCTGGGGCAGGGAAAATACAAAATGAGCCTAGAGTCTTTTTGTGTCTGGATTTTTGCTGCTATCATACAATCCCTACCCATTCTACTTCCTTCTTCCTAAAACACAATCTGCTAGTCTCTTACTACACTCATAAAGCTTAAGTGGTTCCCCACTGCTTACAATATAAAGTCCAATTTGTATGCATAGCCTTCCAGATTCATTTTCTCTAGTTTTTGAAATACATCCTATCTTAGCCACTTGGTAGTCATTCAGAATTCCATATATATGCCTTTTACTTTCCTGCCTGCATACCTTTGTGCAAACTATTTCCTGGGCTTACAGTATCCCCCTCTGTATTCATTCTGGCAAAATCCAGCTTTCCCTGATCTACTCCTGACCCAACTTCAGTCTATTCTTTACAGGCATACAGGGTAATTTTTGTTTTACATACAAATCTGATCATGGTATACCCTACTAAAACCTTTTGTAGCATATAGAAATTGCATAGGCCATAAATTCCAATGTGCCATTTCTTATTTTTCCGTAATATCTCTATATAATATACAGCTTTAATGTAACTTTTACTTAAATCTCTCCCTCAAGCCCCATTCTCATGAGAGCAGGAAACAAAAGTTATCTTTCAGGTTCATTTAATTGTTTTAGTGTTTCCTTAGTCATTTCAAATGTAAATTCTGTCATTTCTATCCCTCTTCCCCACCTTTGACTTAGGATGGCATCTAAGGTGGGGAGGCTACTGGCATCTACATCGGTGGAGGCATCTGTTCTGGGGCCATTTTCTCTTCTCTGACATCCACTTAATGGATAGGTATCTCTTCCTCTGCATTTTGGTCTTCAGTATATACCCTCATTGGTGTCTGCTGAAACATCTTTTGTCCATCGGCCTCCATTTGCATGATACATGTTGACTGAAGCACAATTTCAGGCTCTGTATCAGCTAACTTCAGCTCCGTGCCAGCTATCAGGATGACAGGGTATGACTGCTGTTTGATGCTTCTCTTTGTGACCTGTAGTAGACCAGGGCTGTCATCAGGCATATTTTCCTGTCACCTATCTAGCTACCTCTACTGTACTGCTCTTATGCTGCTGTAAATCTGTCACCTTCCCTGGGTGATCGCCTGTTAAAATTTTCCTACCAAACTCTTCATCTAAAACCTTAGTTCATAGGATCTTTCTGTTAATCTTATCATTCCTTGGGGCTTTATCTGGAGGACAAGACACAGGTTCTTTCTATGCTCAGGTCATCCCCAAACATAAAGGAATGTCTCAATTAGAGTCTCATGACTGAGACTACTTTCCTTTGTTAGGATTTGCTGGGTAATGTCTGTATCCCCACAAGACTCTTAGTTCACTGAAAGCAAAGACTGTGTGTCTGTTTTCCTCATGTTGGTGTCTGACACATAATCACTAAATATTTATTGAATGGAAAAATGAGTGACTCAGCATACTTGTCCCTGTCCTTGTCAAAAACAACTTTTTTCTGTTTAGTATTAAATATTTTGCTTTTGATGGCAGTAATTTCTTGCTTTAATCTTATACAAAGCATGGCATATGGGCTGCAAGAGGTGAGAAACACCAACTTGGGAGAAAAGGAAGACAGGACATGAAACAGTGCAATCAAAGCAGAATTAACCATTGTCAGCACTTACAGCAGGGACAGAACTTATTTTTCTAGTGTCAGAAACACATGAAGAAGTAAAACCATTGAGAAAGAATACATTTCACAAATATCACTCTATGCTCCAATAATATTCCCTGCAAGGCTCTTTTTATTATTTGTAGGTCTTTTTGACTACAGTAGATGCACACTAGATTTTTGTTAGATGATAAATTATAGTACTGGGGTGGTATTTGAAACTGTCTTTGTAAACTAACTCAAAGCTATAGTGCCAAAAAACTCTGTCCCCTAGTACCAGTTTGTGAGAAATTTTGCTGTTTGAAGTTTTATCTGAGAATGGAACATTCTACTCTTGCCTTAAAAATGTGAGCCAGGGGGTTCATTTGATCCAGAGAAGCAGGGTGGATTTACAACCCAGGTGCAGAACTTCAGATAAGGAATTTGGGATTGTAGCATTACACATTTATCTTAACTTTGCAGTGTCCAAGGAAACTTGAGTCTGCCTGTCACCCCAGAACTCTAAACAGTGTTTCTAATGGGACCTGGTGAGGCCACAAGACCCTTCCTTTGAGTGACTGCTGCTTTCTTAACAATAACTTCCCCAGCCCTGCTTCCTTCCATCCACCTCACGAACAAAGATCTATGATACTCAGTTCAAAGCAGATTCTGCTTCTTCTACCCCTTTCCTAGAATCTCAGCACAAATTCGTATCTCATCAGAATTTCCTTCTAGAGTTTACGCTTATTGAGCCACTCCAAGATTTGCCTTTCTGCAGCATGTTAAATTTAACTTTGATGAGCTTATTGATAAAAAGCGCTTAGTTGTCATTGTGCTTGCAAAGTAGACATTCAATAGCTTGGGGTAGAGAGACATGAATTTATATTGCTATTATAAGCAGCAACTAAAGTAATGCTTATGTATGAGCACTGTAGTCCTACATGCTAAATCTCATAAACCCAAAGAATCTACCGCCATTCAACCTATGAGAGATGAAAAACTAACAACGTCGAGGTGATGACCCAACAACTTGAGACTCACGTTAAGTAAAGACTTCCGGTCTCGCGCAACTCACAAAGACCTCTTTGCAGCTCACCCTGGGCGAGCCGGAGGCGCGCGCATGCGCAGCACCAGCGCGCATGCGCAGCACCCGCAGGCCGCTCCGCCTTCCCCTCGGCGCCTAGGTTTACATCCGGCTCCTTAGGCTTTACGCTCCTCGCGCCGGCTGGTGTTTCTCCGGGCTGACTGGCTGCTGGTTGTTTTCGCTGTTCCAGCGTCAGAAGAGCCGGTAGGTCGGCAGGTGAGTACACGGGAAGGGCCTGGAAGGGGAGTCGGGCGGGGGCCCGGCTGTTTGTTGCACCCACCGGTGGGCTCTATGCGGAGACGGGGACGCGGGGCGGATGGGGGTCCCGGGAGCCTCCAACTTGACTGGTCGTCCTCTTCGGGACGGGGCTTTCCTGGCCGCTGCTCTTTGGCAGTCTTCTCCTGACACTTGTTACAAATTCGTAATAGTCATCCTCATTTGCATTCGTTAGGGTTTAAGGAGAGACGGGCCCAGCGGCCTGGCAGGTGAGGTGAGTTTGCAGCCCTCGCCTTCCGGGCAGGGACCACAGCCTTCTCTGCTGCTTCTCGCCTCTCGTCGGGACCCTGACCTGGACCCCTGCTCTGAGAGCCCCCTTCCTGGTCGGGCTTCAGGAATCTTTTGAGGTCAGGTGTAGTGTGTTTTAGGGAAAAAGCGCAGAGCAGGGATTCTGTAAGCCTAGATTCCAGATTCTAGTACAGATTCTAAAATAGCTGTGTAACCCAAGTCGTCTAGAAGTTCCCATCCAGCTTTAAAGTTCAGGTTTGTGTTTGGCAGCTCTTTGTCCAAGGGACGCACACCCAAAATGAATCAGCACCAGAGGAAGATGAGGGCAGGGGTGGTGCTGTGGCATTTTTTGAGTGCTGTCGGGTCAAGATGTCAGAGAATGGTCGACCGCAGCAGCAGTTCAGATGTGTGAGGATTGGCAAAAACTGGAAAAAGACACATTTAAAAATCTGAACACATGTGGCATTCTACTTTTCTCTGGGTGAGGTGATTCATTTGGGACTTTTAGAACTGAACTGTAGACTCGCGCAAGAGTTTAAGAAAGCAAAACGTGCCTGTGTTTGGTCTGAGAGGCTTACTTGAACCTCTGTGCAATGAAGTCATCTTGTATGATGTTATTTTCCAAATGTATCCTGATTGTAAGAATCACCTGTGATATTTGTGCAGATTCCGTGGACCCCATTTCATATCTTTTGAAACACCATGTCCAGGGAAAGGTCCGGGGAATCTTTTTAACAGGCATCCTAAGTGATTCTTCCTTATAAGGCACTTTTGGGAAGCATGTATCTTTCAGTCAGATAGGCCCTCCACCACTTAATAGCTTTATAACTTCAGTAATAAACTTGTGAGTTGCACTTTTCTTTATCTGAAAAATGAGGATAAGTTCTTCCCCAGAGACTGAGTCTAAGCCCTTTGATAGTAGGATCCTTATCTTTGTCATTTTTGTGTCTACAGAGCTTAGTGCTTGGCATTTAATAGGCCCTCCCTCACAAGTGTGTTGAACTGAGAAAAGAAATAGCATGCCCCAAAACACAGAAGACACTTGGAAAGCTCTAATGCCATTCCTCCTCCTCACCTTACAGGGTTTTTTTTTTTTTTCTCTTTTTATCAGTAGTCATTTTGCTGAATATTCTTATTAGAGATAAGTATATCTCTTGATGGTTAAAACAGCCAGGAAATGTTTCTGATTCTTTGGTGTAACTTTGAAATTGTTTCTGCCATTAGATTATTAATGAATTTAAATGGAGGCCAAGTCCATCTGTTGGACTGAATTCATGACTTAACTGTGTAAATTATTGTCTGTAAATGGTATTTATCTCTTGTTATTGTGCCATAACTCTAGATCATGGTGATCGTAAGTTTTTGTTATGCCAGAATCTAAATCATCATGTTCTTAAGGACATATTTAGATTCAGTGTTTCCATTGTAATAAGACCTCCTACTCCCACTAATGTAAAGATTTTGACTTCTGTATGTATGGTTTGTGGGTACAGAATTCAGGACTGCTGAAGCCATTTGTGAAAGGATTGGTGTGGGTAACAAATCCATTTAAGTATAATAAAACTAAGAATTAAAATCTGGGAATTATAGTTGTAGAACACATTGTAAATGTTATAAATCTTGGCAGTATAAAATAATACATCTTACAGAAATCGGGGTGGGAGGAAGTGTAAGAATGCAATTTTCACATCTTTCATGGTAGTAGGTCAATCCATGTTGTCTAAAATGGAATCATGTAGTTTTTAAATGATGCTGATCTCTTAATATTTGTATATTTTTTCTTAACCTAAGAATACTTTTAGGAACTGAAATTACTTTTTGTGAATAATTTTTTCCCCCAGAGATCAGCAGTTTCTTTAGTTCACTTTATTTTCTTTTGCTTCTGTTTAATGCAGAAAGAATTCAATTCGTTATGCTTTTTGTTAAAAATAGCATGTCTAGTATGATTCCATTGTTAGAAATTATTTCTATACATCCTATTTATATGTGTGCATTAGATAGATAGCTGGAATGATGTATACCAAATAGTAATGAGCATTATTTCGGAGTGGCAGGATTTGGGTCGATTTTTTTTTTTAACTTCTTTTTATCTTTCTGTATTGATTGAAATTTTTTTAAGTGCAGGTATCACTTTTATACAGAAGGGAGGTTTGGTTATTACATCATTCATAGGGAGAGTTCTGGATTTTAGTAAGTAACCCAAAAGGCGCTGAGTAATCATTACTACCATTAATTTGCAATCAATAAATGAGTGCTGCTTTGTTTGCCTTTAGATTTGTTTTATGTTGCTTTATATAGTATACCTGTAGAGATAGTGCAGTGTGATGTCTTTATGGTAAATTTGCCTTGATATAAATTTTAGCTTTGTCACTTAGTAACTGTGTGAACTCAGTCAAATTGTGTCAGTCCCTCTACTCATCTAAAACTGGATGTTGTATGTACTTCAGAAGGTTGTTGTAAGAATTGATATTTGTACTTAAATGACCTAGCCCACTGCCCAGAACTCAAAGTTCGTCCAAAAGAGAACAGCCATTATTACTATTTTAAAAGTATAGATTGTATTTGTATAGAAGCATGTCTTTCTTAAGTACTGTCCTTTCTAAAGTCATCAATGTATTTTACTTTGACTGTAAATTACTTAAAGTGCTCTACAATGGAATTTTCTCAGGTTTGAACTCCTTGTCCTGGAAGCTGTGCATCACCATAATGAGGCTTGTAATTCTTGATAACTATGACTTGGCTAGTGAATGGGCAGCCAAATACATCTGTAATCGCATCATTCAATTCAGACCTGGACAGGACAGATATTTTACACTGGGTTTGCCAACAGGTAATGCACCATTTTTTTCCATATTAGGTACTCAAGGTTGTGGGATTGAAGGCTTTTTCTTAGTAAAATATGTTTCCTGTTTATTTCTTGTCATATCACTGATTTAACATATTAGGATATCAAGTCAAATATATAGATACAGACATATCTGGTGTCTAAGTTTCATTACTATTTGTTAAAATTCTGTCTCACCTACCACTCCAGAATTGAAAAGGAAATATAGCTCAGGTCATGGTCATGATATTTTTTGTACCTTTTTCTTGTAGTCTTTTGTTTGTATTTAGGGATGTTGCTTTCACTATTCATGCAGTTTCTTGGGAGATTAGCCTTCTCATTGATCATTAAGAGGTACCTAAAATATGTACTACTGCCTCTTAATTTTACCTCATATGCCTCATATTAGCTTATTAGCCCTTTGCTATTTCTGTGATTATTTTCTATTTTAGAAGTATTACAGGTGAAAAATTGAAGACATGTATGTCTTCATGACAGAATGAACATAAGCATTAATTATACACTTTATTGGATTTAGTTCTCAGTTAAGGTTTTTCTTAAAAAATAACCAAGTAGTGTCACTGATACATGGTACTTTATTTGATATTGTTGACTTACATAGGAAAGAGTATTGGACCTGGAATCAGAGCTGCTACTTTCTTGGTGACTGAAGGGCATTTATTCTACACCATAATCTTGTTTTCCTTACTTTTAAGGAAGATAAGGAAATTAATAGCTTACAATGCTGTTTTGAAGCTCCAGTAAGAGCAAGTCCCTTGTATACTGTAAACACTATGTAAATTTAAGGTTCTCTTAAGTGTGTTTTATTTAAACAGTATTTTTTCCTCTTGTTCCTCCCCCCATACATGTCAACTATAGAAAAGCTACAATCGTAATTGTTTTTCACTTGCATAATTTCCATGAAAGATACTGTTAGCTCACCAAGTTGATTTTTTGTTTGTTTGTTGTTTTGCTTTTTGTTTTTCGGTCCATGGCAGTAGGTGTTGGTAAGAATGGCAAAGAGGATATTTTTTTAATTGTGCACACCAGAAATGGGCCCCCTCAGCACCCACAGTTCTGATATGTGAGCCCCAGTGGTTGAACATGGCCTCTGTATCAGTTTGCCTTCTGTAAACCTGGGCCATGCTCAGACTAGCTGCCTTAATCACTTTGTCTTAATTATGAAGAAATAAACAGTAATTTGAGTATGGGAGCAGAAAGGCTTCAGAGCCATAAACGCCAGCAGTGCTAAACATGTTTTTGTGTATTTTGATATGCAATTCTTCTGCTTTATTTTGGATAGTATTACTGCCTAATAATACATCTGCCAAGGGTATATCTCTGGAAACCTTTGTTAACATTTTCTACTTTTCTCCTTCATTGACAATGACAGTGTTAATCATGCCCCATCCTTACCTCCCCCCACCCCATGCTTTTGAAATTTGAACATACATTTCTGTAAACAACATGCTATGTTGTAATTACGCCCCACCAAGCACAATTCTGGGGAATATCTGTTCAGTATATATCTTTTTAAAAAAAATTTTATTTATTTGTTTATTTTTGGCTGTGACGGGTCTTCGCTACTGCGTGTGGGCTTTCTCTAGTCATGGTGAGTGGGGGCTACTCTTGGTTGTGGTGTGCAGGCTTATCACTGCGGTGGCTTCTGTTGTTGCGGAGCATGGGTTCTAGGCGCGCAGGCTTCAGTAGTTGTGGCTCGCAGGCTCTAGAGCGCAGGCTCAGTAGTTGTGGCGCACAGGCTTAGTTGCTCCGCGGCATGTGGGATCTTCCCGGACCAGGGCTTGAACCTGTGTCCCCTGCATTGGCAGGCAGATTCTTAACCACTGCACCACCAGGGAAGCCCTGTTCAGTAATATATTTATTGAAGTGATGTTGACAAGCTTGACATTTAAGGGCCTGCATGCTGTGGGCCCAACCTGCCTCCCAGACTTATTCCCACTATTCCTCTACACTGAATCAGGGTAGGCAGGTTACACTGCTTGTAGTTCAAAGAACAGGCCTGAACTTGCTGGCTTTACTTTCACTCATGTTGCTAGCATACTGTATAATAAGAACTTTATGAGAATCTCTTGAATATCTGGCTTCACTGCCGTGTGTGTGATATTTGGCACATTCCTTAATTTTTTTACCCCAATTCTTCCACCTTCAAAGTGGGAAAGATAATGCCAATTTCCCAAACTTGTGAGATTTACATTAGCTAATGTATGAAACACCAGCATAGCATCTAGCACATGGTAGGCATACAAGTGTCATCTCTGAACCTCCTCCCCCATCTTTTTTCTATTTTCAATTACAACTTAACCCATTCTTTGATTATGGGAATTTCACTTCTTCTTCAAAGACTCAGTTGAAATGCCGTCTTTCATCCTTTCTCCCACAAGCAAGACTATAGTGTTTTCTTCTTTGATTCACTATATTGCCCCAGACTTCTTATAGGTTATTTATATTTTTCCTTGTGTTATAGTTACTTTGTACTTGTCTATCCGTATTCTGTGAGTTCTTTTAGGGTAGAAACAGTCATAATCTTTGTTTTATCTGAATCATAGTAAGCACTTGCTAAATTAGTTATGTTAGTAAATGAGTATTGCAAAGCAAATATATTAAAATGAAGTTTCTTTTACCAGTTCACCGTGTACCATATCTTCCATTGATTTTTTTCTATTCAGCCACTTTGATTAAAAAGTAGAAAATGAATGTGATTTTTATCACTATTGTGACTTCTTTTTATGTTCATATGTCCTTAAATTATGGAGGGAGTCCTATAACTATTCTCTTGACACTGAAAGATACACACAGAAAATTTGTTATGCTTCTAGAAAAGGAGAAAGAAGAGCATACTTATCCATCTTTTATCCAGGTTTCATGTTAGTGGGCTGTAGTTCTTTGAGAAGGAATTGTAAAGTTTGACCACATAAATTTTAAATTATTAATGACAATTTAAAACAGTATGTGTGCTTAACTTTAAGAAAACCTATTAGTCTTCTGTTCTGTGAACCTGTCTGTGTGATATTTAGCCACTTCTATTATTCTGTCATCTTAAATGAGAGTCAGTTTTTTTACTACTCTAGATTTTTTTTGTATTAGTTGTTTTTTTGTTTTTCTGGTGGTTTTTTTTTTTTTTTTGCCAGAGACTGCTTAGTTCTGCCATACTTCTCCCTGCCCCTTGAGTAGAAATTTTGTGTTTGGGTGTTTTATTTTGTTTTGTGATGGTGGGCGGACTAGAAACCAATACTCTGACCAGGATTGTGTGGGCCAGGTTGCTTGTTGTAAGAATGTAGTCAATCTAGTCTTCGAATTTGTAGTTAAAATGAAAAAATACAGCAAATTTAAAAAACAAAGGGAGGCCATCCTCAAGTGGCTAAATTCATTTATCTTTATTGTGTCGTTTCATGGAGCACTATCAAGCAGATCTTAATTTTATAAAACATAAAAGAATCACACTTATAAAACAATAACATTAAGAACTCAGATGAAGTATCCAAAGCCAAGATCCCATTTCCTAGAAATCATTTTACTTTATACATTTTAGCTGATATATGCTGAAAATAACACAAAATGAGAAACAGGAGCTCCAGTTAAAAACTGAAAGGGTAAGCCTCCTCACTCAATCCTTGCCACTTTCTATTTTGAAAGTAGAGGCAGTGTTTAAATTCAGCTCTGGTTTCACTTTTGATTTCATTGAATGGTCAATACTTGACCTATTTATGTATCATTTATGCTACAAATCCCTCTCTAAATAGTTTTTTCTCTAAAGGTGGGACATTTATTTTTCTAATTCACATGTGCTCTCTAGAAGTTTCTAATCCTGGAATATACACCATTAATTCCAAATATCCAGCGACACAAGAATAATTTTCCAAGCTATAATTTCGTTGACAGATTCCCAGCTTTATTCAGCAAATTCTAGTTTACTAAAATTTTAGGTTACCTGGTAGAGAGCCTAATTCAACATATATTTGTTAACTGAATGTGTATTTAAATTAATAATTGTTTGCCTAATAAATTAGAAATATAAAATACTATTAAGTAAGAAGAGAATAAGGTTAATATAAACTATTTTTTAAATTAGATTTTCAAGTTATGTTAGAAAATGGAATGTTTATCTGTTTTAGGGAGTACACCTTTAGGATGTTATAAAAAACTAATAGAATATCACAAGAATGGAGACCTTTCTTTTAAATATGTGAAGACCTTTAACATGGATGAATATGTAGGTAAGCTATATTATTTGAATATATTATTTGGACATGTTATATTTTTTAAAAAATTAATATATTGAGAATATTAACATTATTTAAATTTGTTTTGAATGTAATATGAATATATTTCTAAAGTATAATGTATTACCTTGTAGTGGGGTTGGGAGTTTATATAAAAAAAAAAAATTTTTGTAATGACAGCATGACATAGTAGAAGGACCGTGAGACTAGAAATGAGAAGATTTGCATTCGTCTTCAGCTGTGCCACTTACCAGTCCTGGCTCCATCGACTTTGAGCCAATTCATTCACATTTCTCATTCTCTCTTTTTCTCTTTTTCTTTTTTTCTTAAGGCAAAGTTAAAACCAGTATTGTTGTGGGGATAAATGAATTAATATGTATGTAAAAGTAATTAGTAAAATATTTTTTAAATATAAGGCTATTTGTAGCCTTGAAGCTTTTATAATTTATTGATTGTGACCTTGCTTAACTAGAAAGATCAGTGATACATATAAACTCTGTGTTAAAATTTAAATTTTATAGGTACACATTTTTAACAGTAGCCTGAGTCATTGTCAAAGAACTGTTGTAATTTAGTATACCTTGTATGTAAATAGGAATAACAGGAAGAACGTAGATCAAGATTTCAGTTGTGTGGCCATTTAATTTATGTTGAATTTAACACATAAATCAGTTTTATTGGTTAAAATTTTGTATTTGAGAAGGGGAATATAGTGATTACATGCACATGAACTAGACTTCTGTGCTCCAGCCCCTTTGTGAGCTCTGTGACCCTGGGAAAGTTACTTTTCTGTGTTTCTGTTCATCTATAAAGTGAGATTGATAATAGTTATTTCCATAGACATTGTACACATTAATTAATACATACATGTACAGTGATTAAAATAATGCCTGGCACATAATAAGCATATATTCCATATAAAAATGCTTTTAAATTGAATATGGTATAGAAATGTTACATATTTTAAATAGCATTTATGGCTTAATCAGAAAAGTAAACTTTAGATTTATTTCTGGAAATAGTTACATTTTTATTTATTAACTTTGTATTTAGGACTTCCCAGAAATCATCCTGAAAGCTACCATTCTTATATGTGGAATAACTTTTTTAAGCATATTGATATAGATCCTAATAATGCTCATATCCTTGATGGGAATGCTACAGATTTACAAGCAGAATGTGATGCATTTGAAAAGAAAATAAAAGAAGCTGGAGGAATTGATCTTTTTGTTGGAGGTATGTAAAACATTTTGTCATTAATCATTTATTAATATTTGGATTAGGTGCTTTAAAAAAAAAAACAAAACTTACCTTTGTGTAATGTAAAGAACATCTGTGACTGTCTGTAATACCCATTTATTCAGCTATTGATTTCTGTTTTACTTTATTTTCATCAAAAAATAATCTTAATGTTGCAAGTGGGGATTGTTTAAATTATGGCTTGAGAAATAGGTCCTAATCCCTGCCTAATTACCTCTTTAGAACTGATAGTTTACCACATCTTAGAAAACGAGTGATGTTTCTTTTCCTCAGTGATACTCTTATTCTTTTACTGTTTCTTTAAAACCCCAACCCAGCTTTCTTATCAAATTACAGCGTTAAATCTCTGAAAGTCTGCATGTGGAACAGGTGGATTTTAACATTTCTCTACTGATCATTCAAATTGCTTCATTTCACTGAGTAATCAGTTAAGAATGTAAAATTTTTATCATCAGCCTTTAGTTAATATGAATTAAGCTGTATAATTGTCTTAATAAACTCTAAAGTAAATGTTTAATTAACTAAATTCCACTTGAAATTTATATATATACATACACACACAAACATACATATGTGTATGTATATTGTGTGTTCATGATCTACCACTGAAGAGGTGAAAGAATCTCTTCCTTTGTAATGACAATACGGTTTTCTGCTATCAGTATGAAGCATATGAATAGTACATCATCTAAACTGAAACCAAAATTTTTTTTTGCCAGATTCTTTAGTATTCAACTAAACATACTAAAGCTCTAAATTAACATTAGATATATAGAGATATAGGTATATCCATTAGATCCAGGTGTATCTTACAATTAATTTATTAGAAGACTGCTCAAAACTATATGAATTAGATCTTCAATAGACCTGTACTAAGGTTAATTTATGGTTGAGGTGGCCAGGTATTGTAGAGGTGTTTGGTTGCCTTTGGAGAAAATTGGGTTTTATCGTCAGACAAAAATTAGCATCCTGTTTTGGCCACTTACTATCTGTAAGATCTTAGGAAATTTATTGATTTCAGTAAGCTAGTTCAGTATACTAATTCAATATAATTAAGTTATTTGTAAAACAAGATTATATTAACCATTTCAGAATTGATGAGAATTAACCACATTATAACATGTATAAAATGCCTTGTGCAGTGCTTGGTATGTAGTTGGTAATCCATTAAGTGTTACTCCACTCTGTCTCTGAGGTGTAGTTTCTGAAGTAATTTTTCCTTAGTTCATTGAATGTCCTGCTCTTTTACTGATTTACCTCTAAGGGTATCCAGCAAGACTGAAGTTTTTCTCTTTGAGGAAATTGTTATCTCTACCTAGCAGAACTAATATCAATTACTTTCTTAAATAGACAGTCTAGGGTGGTTTTTTTATCTGAGCAAGAATCCAAGTTAGACTAGTTTGCTTTTCAAAATAGAAAGTATCTATTTTTTAAATAAAACTTGCTAATATTACTTCACTATTCCTGGAAAACATTTGCATTCCAGTTTTGTCTGTATTGCTCAATTCTGAGATAATTACCGTTTGCGCCTACCAATATCAAGGCCAAGGCAGTAGATATTTGAAAATGTTTAAGGAGTGCGCTACCCATGCATTCTTTAGATTTTCTAAACTCTACCAAAATCAAGTAGAATTACTGTAAAATAATATACCTAAACTGTTTATCTTAGTTATATCAAGAAATATTTTCACTCATTTACCATTATACAAAAAGATATGGCAATTATTAAAACTTTAGTATTAAAAATGGCTGAATGGATAACATAAATAGTATCTTTTTACTTCTTTATTTGAGGACATATTTTTTCCTGTTAATTTATTGACCTTACATAAGGATTCTTGTGACAAATCCCTTGGGGTCTCAATGCCAGGAAGTAGAATTTACTTGGGGGAAAAAAACTGATAAGAGCTCTTTAACTCCATTTTGTCCTTTTGCCTACTTTCCAGAAAATATTTTAGCTTAATGTAATGTTTAATCTCCCTTTTCAGAGATTTATAGTAAACTTTCTTCTTTCCCCATAGCTTTAAGCCACTTCTTGTTTCTTTGTAGCTAAAGTTTTTCAGTGCATTTCCTCACAATAACTCACCTTAGTTCTACCTTTGAAACTAATGGAGCATAATCATAATTATTTATGTTTATCACTGACTCTTACTACTAAAAAGAACTTTGTTTTTTAACCAATTTTTGTCTTAAACTTCCTGTAGTTCTCCCCTTGCAAAAAAATTTAACAGGATTTCCTTTCCTCTTCCATTAACACCTTCATTGTAGTCGTGGGCTAATCCAGGGTCTGACAGTTTATATTTATTATCGAAGGGACATATAATTGTGTATAGGGAACGGAGGGTTGGCTTATTACATTTTCTTTGAACTTTTCCCTGTTTGGGATACCCTATTATTGGATCTGTCTCATGAAAGAATCTCATTTGATTCTTCACCTTTGTTGATCTAGGTTGTTATCATTGGATATTCAAGATGAGGCTTGGTGTCTGGGTCTTACCACTTACCCTTCTTTTGTTCCAGGGTTTGGTTAATAAAAACACTAAGAACTGAGCCAAATGGGATCAAAATATCAGCTTTATTAAAGGTAAAGTTGGATTAGAGATTGCAGGTTGGGCTTGAGGCCAGAATGGGGTTTCCTACTCCTCCCCTCTGAATTTGGAAATAGTAAGACCAGAGAAGAGCTCCAGAGTATTAATCCACCATTGCTCACTCCTGGGAAATGGAGCAAGAGTTCCCTTCCCTCTGTAGACAGGAGAAAGGAGGAAATACATACTCAGAAGTTCTTCATCTGATGACAGAATTGTTGGGAGAAAGAATAAGGTGTATCATGCAATTCCTGATCCATACCCAGCAATAAAGTACACAAACATGGAAACCTATAAATAGACTCTAAAAGCATTATTAACTTTAAAATTATCTTAAGATAATTTGTGTTTAAAAGGTAAAAATAAGACACTGGGGATATTTTTAACCCTCTACTTTGGTTACACGATTAGATTCTTTGATTTGCAAGTAAATGTAGTCTACTAATGAGACTAAAAGTGAATTTATTGGAATAATTCTGGGGTAACTCACAGAATTGATATCAGAGTTGGAAAAAACAAGTCTTTAAAAGAACAAGAACCAGGAGCCTCAGATCAGCTGAAGCAGGGACTCACCTGATCCTCTCCTGCAGTGCTGTCATCAAATGCCTCAGCTCTAGATGCCTTCTTTCTTTCTGTGTTCCTGGTCAAGTTTCAGATTTATAGAGAGAAATTCTGATTGTTTCAGCTTGGCCTAAGTACTTGTCCTTAGATCACAACAGTTCTGCCTAAACGATATGAGATATAGGGTGTTATGATTGGTCTAGCCCCTGTTGTGAGGGGAGCAGAGCAGGGTAGAAGGGGGCAAAAACTGTACTGAACATTCTGAACAATACCAACCATCCATTCATTTATTCAACCGTTATTTATTGAGGGCCTCCTGTGTGTCATGTGTTCTAAATAGTAAGGATACAGTTATGAAGAAGAGAAAGTCTACTCTCATGACGTTTACCTTCTAGCCCACAGAACTATAGACACAGGAAAGACACACAATCCAGACTCAGAGGTTTTAGGGATGTTTCATAAAGGTGTTGATTATCTCGGGCTTCCCTGGGGCGCAGTGGTTAAGAATCCGCCTGCCAATGCAGGGGACACAGGTTCGAGCCCTGGTCTGGGAAGATCTCACATGCCGTGGAGCAATTAAGCCCGTGTGCCACAACTACTGAGCCTGTGCTCTGGAGCCTGCATGCCACAACTACTGAGCCCGCACACCACAACTACTGAAGCCCTCACACCTAGAGCCTGTGCTCAGCAATAAGAGAAGCCACTGCAGTGAGAAGCCTGCACACCGCAATGAAGAGAGCCCCCGCTCGCCACAACTAGAGAAAGCCTGTGCACAGCAATGAAGACCCAACACAGCCAAAAATAAAATAAATTAAAAAAAAAAAAAGGTGTTGATGTCTTAGTCTACACTTAAAGACTGAATAAGAATTAACCATGGTGTTTAGAGTTCATGATTATTTTTAAGAAAATTTTATAAGGCTTTGTAAAACATTCTGAACATTTTAAAAATATAATTTTATATCAGGAAAAGCTCAATTTTTGATAGTTACTGATAGTAAGGGAATGTATTGACGCTTCTCCATCATGAACCATTCCTGATAATTTCAGCTTTGCTGTACACTTGTGTGACCCAAATCAGTGGTGAGACCACTAATACTGATCTTTGAGGACCTCCTATTTTTTTCTGGAACTCTTTTATTTTCCTGGTTCCATCCTTTCCTCCATAGAGAAATATAATTAAAAATATTTAGGTAGATGTATACTTAAGAGGAAAAGCAGAACAGTTTTACAAATCTAGAGAGATATGCATATCTGTGATTTAAAATAGACAAGCATATATATACTTAATAGTGGAAACCATACATATTAACCACATATAGGTCTGGCTTTACGTACTAGATTAAAAATTAATCCTATATTGTTAAAAATTCCTAGATTATTGTGCTTTGGTAGTTCATATTTGCTTCCTAAGGTTTTCAGTTCTTCCTTCTTCATTCAAAACCAGGTTACTCTTTGTCATATTTTACTTTGTTGTAGCCTGGGAAAAAGTTGTTAGAATTGTGTGTTAAGAGCCAATAAGATACACCTATATATCATTAAATATGCAGAATATAAGTATAACCGGTATTTTGACCCAGAGAACTTGTGGGGTTTTTTTTTTTGATTGAAGTTGCCAGAAATCTGACTAGCAAGTAGGGTCCATGTATATAAAACTTGATTTACTTAAGCCATAGAAAGATTCTTGATTTTATGAAAAGATTTACCTCCAATTTCCTTCAAATAAGAAATGTCATATTCTTATCTATATTTTAGAGGCAGTCCTAGAATATTTCAGCTGGCAGTAGATCTCCTTAAAGCAGAGTTTTCAAATTGTGGTTGTCACACATTATTAGGGCATGAAATCAATATGGTCAGTCACATCCACCATTTCCCTTTGTACGTTTTGTTAATGAAACAAAATGTAATCAAAAATAGCTTGAATGGCTCCTCGTAAGGGTATTATTTCATGCAATTCTTGTTTTAATTGTATTTATATGTGTACTAGATTGCAGTGTCAAATGTATTTCTTGCAGTAGGTTGCAGTCAAAGTTTGAAGAAAACTACTGCCTTAGATAATATCTTGTCCAATCTAAACATTTTTATAAGTGAGGAAAACTATACTACAGGGAGGTCCAGTAGTTAACTGCCCCATCTAGACTAGAACCAAGCAAGTTAAAGTGTGAATATAAAGACCACTGGGTTAGGAATCAGAAGATTTAGATTTGAGTTTTGTCTTAGTATTTACTAAATTATTTACCTTGAACAAATCATATATTATCCTTTAGCATCAACGTTTCCTTTTGAGCTTAAAAAAAGGGGGAGATGAGGTAAATAGATATGGTTAATCTGACTATGTCACAAGATTGTTAAATATATGTGTTGTTGAGAGGATGCATGTGAAATTGCTTTATAAAGTATTATTATAAAGTGATACTTAATTTTGCTGTTAGAATCATGCTAGCTCAATGCTAAGCATATGGAAAACATTGAAATACTTGTTGAATCAAATACAGGAACAAATCTTTTACTGCAGCATTAGAAATTCAGCTATCAAATAAAACAAGGTAAGCGTGTTTATGACTATTTCTTTGGTCTTTAAATCATGTTGAACTTTGAGAAACCTTATTTACTTATGTATATATGTGTGTGTATATGTATTTCTTTTGAAAGGAATTGGTCCAGATGGTCATATTGCTTTCAATGAGCCAGGATCCAGTTTAGTATCAAGGACAAGAGTAAAGACTCTAGCAATGGACACCATTTTGGCAAATGCTAAATATTTTGATGGAGATTTATCAAAAGTGCCAACTATGGCTCTAACAGTTGGTGTGGGGACAGTGATGGATGCTAGAGAAGTAAGAATTAAATGTTCTTTGATGTTTTTCCTTTGATGTCTATAGACTTTGGAGAAATTGTGGTGTCAAATAAGTGCTATTTTGGGTTAATCCTATTTGCAGTATAAATTGTTGTCTAGCTTTCAGTAATTTCTTTCAGGCTCTTTGCCATGTTTAGAATTCAAGTAAATTAAGTCTTTGGAGCTGGAAACTAAAAATTAGGCACCATCTCTTTTGGGGTACTGCTTTACTTGCCTCTTCTTGTTTCACAGTTTGAGGTCCTAAAATCACACTGATCATATAGTCTTGTGAAAGGACTGTTGCAACAAAGATGCAGTCATAATTAACATTAGACTGCTTTTGGAGGCTTAGGATAATTTCGTGTAATGTGATTCTTGACTGTAGGAGGATAGCTCAGTTGGTTTCCAGTGGAAAAAGAACCCCTTTAGGGCTGGATCTGTTCTAAATTTGGTATGTTTAAGAAGGCAAGAGTTCTGAACAGTAGACTCAAATTTTTTAGTTTTTAATTGGGCTGTCATTTCCTGCCCTGAGAATAACAGACCAAATTATAGTCAGATCATGATTATAAGTGGTTAAATTATATGGAAACCCAAAGCTCCATTCCCTTCTGGCAGCAGGATTGGACAGGTTCAGAGGAAAGAGTACAGACAAGGTATGGTGAATGAGTAACTGATCTTAATGTAAATATATCTAGACTTGAATGCACAAATAGAACTGTCATTCAAAATGGAGTTTTACATCTAACAATAATTGGTTTATGAAAAAAGACCTTTTAAAGACTGAAATTTCATAGTAAATAAATTGAAAAAAATTAGAGCAATCTTAGTTCTAAAATATGAAAGTTACGCAAAACGATTTCTTACATATAACAAAATTAAAGTTATGGTGCAACTCTTATGCTAATTCTTAGAATTAACAGAATTATTCAAACATTGATTTTTTTTCTTTTGTTTGACTTTTCCAACAAAATTATATGATGCTATTCACCTCACAGTATTCATTCCCAGCATGACTGTAAAGAAAATTATGGCAAAACTTTTATTATTCAGTAGTTTTCCCAAGGACTTTAGTGCTTTATTATAGTTGATTTACAATACTGTGTTAGTTTCCAGTGTGCAGCAGTGATTCAGTTATATATATATTTTTTCAGATTATTTTTCATTATAGGTTATTACAAGATATTGAATAGTTCCCTGTGCTATATAGTAAATCCTTGTTACTTATCTGTTTTACATACAGTAATTTGTATCTTTTAGTCCCATACTCCTAACTTACCCCCTTTCCCGTTGGTAGCCATTAGTTTCTTTTCTATGTCTGTGAGTTTTTTTCTGTTTTATATAGATTAACTTTTATTGTGTTTTAGACTCCACATGTAAGTGATAGCATATAGTATTGTTTTTTTCTGTATGACTTGATTCACTTCGTATGATATTCTTTAGGTCCGTCCATGTTGCTGCAAATGGCAGTATGTCAGTCTTTTTTATGGCTGAGTAATATTCCATTGTGTGTGTGTGTGTGTGTGTGTGTGTGTGTGTGTACCACATCTTCTTAAACCAATCCTCTGTTGATGGACACTTGGGTTGTTTCCATTGTCTTGGCTATTGTCTTGCTAGATTTTTCATAGCATTCTTTTGAAACAAGTATCACATGATTATACTTAATGACTTTATCTTCAATTTTAATGGGCTTCATGTGTACACATTTTCATCTGCCAGTGGTTTTAACTGTGATGTGAGCTGTTCGTCAGTGTCATTTTCAATAACTGCAAATATATTTAAAATTTAAATCCATGTGTGGGACAGATGTCACTGTTGAGTGGAAAGTAGGTTTGACTGGGAGACAAATCTTTAAGTGGTCAGTGCATCCATAAGTATCTTCACACTTTGGCAACTCAGATAATGAGGACCTTCTGTACAGACCCTGGAAGTGACAACCCAGAAGTTATTACAGGTTTCTTAAGACTTGGGAATTGTCCACTAGGTAATGAACCACACAAGTCACTGCCCTCAATTTTCACTCCTTCCTTGCTTTGAGGCCTTACATTGATGTTAATTAATTGTGAAATGTTCTACTTCTCTAGCCCTTGCTTAGCTAAAATGGCACCCGTTTTCAGCTTTCAGAGTTCCATTTTCTGACCATAATTCTTATAATCAAAATTATTTTCTTTTATTCTTTTACCACAGTTTTTGTTTATAGCACTTTTTGCAGTTTATAATTGTTTCTGTATGTTTCGTTGTTTAATACCCTTCCTCATTAGTTTATAATCTCCAAGTGTTTATGAGTCATGTATATCTAGCACAGTACACTGCCTGTCACATAATAGGTATTCGGTAACTGTTGAGAATAGTTTGAATGAATTACTTTTGCCCATAATTCATTTTGGACAAAGTTGGTTCTATCCACAGCTTGGCTGTCTACCTGAACCACCAGATCTGATTTTTATTGACTTCTGGCTGTTTGATGGAAGCCACATTTACCCTCAAAGGATTAAAATTTGTTTTTACTGAGATATATTTCAAGATAATGCTTTATATTTTAAAGGTAATTCCAAAAGAAAAGACACATTGTTTTTAATTACTGTAGCATCTTTAGAATTGCTTATTATATATAATTATAATAATTTGAATGTTTATTCTTATGATGACATAAGGAAAAACCAGTAAAACTTAAAAATCTTTTGATTTTGTTGACTTACTGAATGTCACAGAAGTCACCAGTGACAAGTTCTTAATTGTTAAGACCATCATCTTTTCTACAGGTCTTATCCTACTGGGCTTCTTTTCATCATTTATTCCTGTGGACTATTTCTTCCGTCATAAACCTCTACTATTACTCTTCTTTCTTTCTGACCATTCTTTCTCAGTATGCTTCCCTGGCTCTTTCTTCCTCCATCTGCCTTTTGAATGTTGTTGTTACCTAGGGGGTCATCTCCTAGCACTGCGTATTCACTATGCATACTTCTGGGCAGTCACACTTTGGAACCCTGTTCTTGGTAGATTTAGTACTATTCTAAAAAGGTCAACTACGCTCAATACAGTGATAACTACCAGTACATATCTTTAGCCAGTTCTTTTTCTGAAGCTGCAGATTTCATATTTCCAATTGACTCCTTATTTAAACTGTTCAAAATTTAAATTCATCTTTCTACCAAAATTGTCTCCCTCCCTTGGTGAATAGCAACACCCTCCATGAAAATTATCTGAACTTGAAACGTGTGTCATTCTCAGCTTCTTCACATCTAATCAGTCACCACATTCCACCATTTAACTTAGAGATAAATAAGGATCCAGCCCTCCATCGAACAGAGATAAATCCATCGGAGCTGCCTTACTTCTGGTCTATATCAGTTTTTTAAGGATTATTGCAAACGCATCCTAAATCATGGCTATCTCCATTCTTTCCCTTTCCTGTTCTCTATTACAGCCTGAATTTTTTTTTTTCCCCGAAACATAGTTACTACTCATGCATGTAATGAAGAGTCTCTATTCCTTGCTGCTTCACCACAAGATATCTAGCCTCTTTGGCATAAAATGCTCTGTGTTATCAAAATTCAGTTTTCAGCCATCTCATTTCCCTATGCTCAGCCTTACCAAATTTCTAGCTTTTTATTGACCACCCCATAACTGTCTGAAGTGCCCCCTTTTCTTTTCTGCTTATCCTTAAGATTTGGTTTCAGATAGGGCTACTCTTAAGCTTTTTCACAATACAAGAAATACTCTCCTTGAGAATAGTGGAGCAGATAGAGTAGAAATAATCACATATTATCAACGTCAAATTATATTCCAAGAGGGATTTTCTTCAATTTCTGATTTTCCAGATATTTCTTCTTAATTCTCAATTAAAGGTTATATATGTCTTATTGTAGCTGTTAAGGATATGGATGCTGGAATCAGACCTCTTGTTTATATAGTAGCCTTACCAAGACGTTGGGCAAGTTACAGAATATCTGTGCCTCATTCCTTATCTGTGAAATATGAGTAAGAATAGTATTTATCTCACGCTGTTGATGTGGGTAGTTAAATGAGATAATAATTCACGAAAAGTGCTTAAGTTCGGTGTTTAACTTTGAAACCACCAAATCACATTTTAAAACTCCTGAAATAAATTAAACTTCAGAAAATATCCATCATGCAGCAATCACTACATATTCTCATTTAATGTAGTGTGTGTGAAAATAGTTTTAAAAAGCCTTTTCAAGTGCTAGGATAAGGACTTCTGCCAGATTGCATACTAATCACTTAAGGGACCCTGATTCTTGGGTCCTAATCCCAAAGATTCTGAATTAGAAGACAGGATGGAGCAAAGAACTTGAATATTTTTTTTTTTCAAACTCCTCTGTAACACATATCAGTCTTAAGAAAAAAAATATTAATTTCCAGTAAGGAAAACTAATAGACCCATTAATCAGTGCTGTGCTTACCTTATTATATCAAGCATTGCTAATTTTTAAAAAATGCTTTTAATTATAGGTGATGGCATATTAATTCTTCCCTGAGCCTAGATCTCTATACTTAAGAACAAGAAGTATCAATAAAAACAGTAAGAATTCATACGTATCTTATTTCATTCATGGGCTTTGATATTAATCAAATATAGCTTCAAAATGAAAAGTAATGAATCTTGATAAAAGAAATACAGTAATATCTGGTTCATTAATCTTTAATTTCCTCCCTGTTTTAGAAGGTCTGGTTCTAAAATGTGAAATACAGAATTTTTACATTGTTACAGATATTTTAGAATTACAACCACTTTAACATTCATTTTTTTAAAAATAATGAGGAAAAAACATGTTTAAAGATTTATTACATTACATAAACTGTTTAACTTGTAAAAACAGGATTGATTTACTGCTAAAAATGTTAAAGAAAAGATTCATTCAGACACCTGTATACACTCACTCACATTTGCATACATTCTTTGACTTATCTCGTAGGCTATCAGGGATCTGGGACAAAGACCTTGGATTTTCTGTACCTAAGGATGGTCTCAGTTATGTGTGTTTAAAGGACAGTTCCTGCATTTAAGTAGATTCTGAACCCTTCTTTAAATCTAGTTTTGTTCCAAAACAGCTTTAGATAGCACCCGTTCAGTGAAACAATCTTTAGCTCATTTCTCTAGATTACTTTTAAAATATCTTATTTCAGAGTCTTTTGCTTTTCCAAAGTAATATCTATTGCTTATCTGGGCTAGAGCAATTTGATATATCATTTCTGGTTATATAAATTCTTTGTTGATCTGTAACTCTGCTTTTGCAAAACAGCCCTTTTGTTTCTTTTTCTTCATTCTCCCAGGTCTCTTCTTGCACATCAGTATTTAATGTGTTAATTATCATAGGCATTATGGTATATTCAATAATACTCCATTACAAGACACTATTTTACTTTGTTCAGCCAGAAGTAGAGATACACTTTGTGCTTGCCTGTTACCTTAAAGAGCAGAAATAAATACCTTGAACTATGAAGAAATATGGAGCTGTTTATTTTTATTTTAACCCTCAGAAAAATACTGGTGCTAAATTCTTTGTTTAAAAAAAATAGAGCTTCTTAGTCATTTGGAACATGTTTTAAGAATTGACAGGTAATGTCCACGATTTTTCAGGTAATGATCCTCATAACAGGTGCACACAAGGCATTTGCTCTCTACAAAGCAATAGAAGAAGGAGTCAATCACATGTGGACTGTTTCAGCCTTCCAGCAACATCCCCGAACTATTTTTGTATGTGATGAAGATGCTACTTTAGAATTAAGAGTTAAAACTGTGAAATACTTTAAAGGTGAGGACTGAAATTTCAAAAGCAGACTGGGAGAATATTCCATTGTAGATGACAATTAAAACTTAGTATGACTGGGGAGTTACATTCTGCATTGTGGGCTATTGAAAACTGGCACTGTGCTGAGGATTAGAAATGTCTCACTTCAGATAATACTAGCTTTCAAAGTAATTTCCTAATATTTTTTCTTGAAGAAAACCTCTTCAATCTATATTTCCAGTAAACAAGATGTTTCTTGAAATCCAAAATTAAATATTTTACTTTCATATTGAATATACAAGATTAAATAGCCCCAAAGGAAATGTATATATGTCCTTTCTAATTTTTTCATTGTTTACCTGTCCCACCCTAACCTCTCAGCTATGTTTAGAATGAAATCAGGGGATAAGATGGGTTGCCCACTATCTCATTTAATCTTCACAATAAATTTTGCTAAATGTCAAACAGTATGGAATAAACTCCGCAAGTAAGCAGAGTTTGCCCAGACTTCTGCATATTTAGCTTCCTTTTGCTTCTTCCTACAGTCTAGTTCAGTAATTTTTAAACTTTACCATACCGTGTATATATATATATATATATATATATATATATACACACACACACGTGTATATATCTATCTATATATATAAAACCATATACACTTGCTGTGATAGGTGTTTAAGAGATTTTCAAGGACAATTTTGAATACACTCAGTTTAGAAGCCATTCCCTGCTTGAGTCAACTCCACATATAAATACACACACATAAACAAGCTGTATAAATAGGTACTTTTTACAAAGCACCTGTATTTATATAGCTGATATGAAAATATTATGTAATGAGCCATATATATAGTTCAGTAATTCACAAAGTATGTAATAAGTGTACTACTGATACTATATGAATGAAAATACGTTTTAAATCTCTTTAATAAAAGGTGTTAAAGGTTTCCTTAGTGTTAAGCACTTAGATTACTTCCAGTCATTTATATTTTTATCAGTTAAATTACCAGTTTTTTACCAAGTCACAAATATACCAAATTAAACTGAAAATTGTTAGCTTGTTAGTAATTTGACAGATAAAAGCAGAGAATAGCTCAGTTATGGGTTGTGAATAAGAGCTCTTAGATGGCGTTTTACCCATCTATTTCCATGTAGTCCAGGTTTCATCACAAATATTAGATTCCTTGAAAAAGTTAATAGAAGGAATCTTCATTATCCACATATTTTTTTGTGTGTGTGTGGTATGCGAGCCTCTCACTGTTGTGGCCTCTCCCTTTGCGGAGCACAGGCTCCAGACACGCAGGCCCAGTGGCCATGGCTCACGGGCCTAGCCGCTCCGCGGCATGTGGGATCTTCCCAGACCGGGGCACGAACCCGTGTCCCCTGCATCGGCAGGCGGACTCTCAACCACTGTGCCACCAGGGAAACCCTATCCACATATTTTAATAACAGTTTTGAGGAGATTCATTTAACATTGCCATTTTCTAGCACCAGTAATCCCCAGATTAACCCCTATACTTATCTGATTTTTGTCAGTTTAGTTTTTATCAGAAAATTTTTACATTTTAGTGAAGTAAACATTTAATAATAGCCCAATAGTTATATGACCAGGTGCTATTCTAAGCATATTATACTTACTGATTTACTTAAATCTCACAATTCTATGACATGGGTACTCTTATAATCCCATTTATAGGTGAATTAACAGGCTTAGTAGGGATGTTAAAGTCACTTAGAAATTATTTTCCATTGGAGCTGTATATATTTCTGAAGAGATTCAGGACATCAGCCTCTGTCAGGATGCCTCCTTCAATATGGAGAAAAATGGATTTGCAATATTGTTCTGGGCTATATATATAGACCTCATCTTACAGTAAGATATTTTGATATTAGGTAGAATGACTTCATAAATTTATACATGTTATAAATGTAGTTTTATGTATTTGTCATATCCTTATTATTATATCACTGCAAGATATACTGGAGGAAATGAATCCCTTAGTTATAATCTGTAATTCTTCGAATACCATTCACATCACTATTTCTTCTGCCATCTCTTTAAAAGTGTCAAGAGGAATCTTAAAGGGTTCTAATTATTTAGCTCTTGAAGTCTAGGTTAACTACATCTAAAACAATAAAAATAATTAGCATATGGAAGTTTATTTCAGTATATATCTTTTGAAAGATATAAGTAAATCACAGGAAAACATTTTAATAATTTGTTTTATTCTAGTTTTTTGTTTTTAAAAAAATAAAACCTATGTTTTATGTCCTGAGATAATATATTTTCAAGACATCATCATCATGGTGAACATTCTTTTTGTTTTATCCTTTTTAGGCCCTACTCCAATAGCTCCAATAGCTTGATAGAGGCTGAATGAATTCAGATTGAACCAAACTATAAAATCTATTATATTTAACTTTTCTTCTTCAAGCAACATCAGAAAGTCTATGCATTTTTATCAGTACTCATTAGAATTTACTTCTGTTTATGATTTAAGTAAGCAGTTATTTATTTTTATCACATTCTTGTGTAGAACGTTGTCCGTTTTTACCTTTAGTCATAGTAAACACTTGATTTATTATTCAGAAAGCAAGTACTAAAATTTCCAAAATTATTTTTAGTTTGGAACTAGCTTTATGTTATGTACAAGTTATAGCCAGTGTTTAGTTTTTAAAAAACTTTACAGGAGTTGGATTTTTAATGTTTATCCTGATGTTTTAAGTTGTGTGTTTTTAAGCTCTAATGTATTCTTTCCATGATCAAAGCTTTAAGTGAATGATAGATGAATTATATCAAGTAGAATGATCCTCAAAGAGCTGATACTCTGGAAGAGGTATATCTTCTAAACCACATGGCTGAGATTACCATTGTCTTTGTTGTCCCCTCTCTTGGGTCTCTCCAATCTCCATTTTGCTGCTTTTTACATACTGGTTGTTAAAACTTTTCAGTTAAATATTGTTTTAAATAAGATTGGTTCTATTTAGAGCTAATTATCTGGTAAATATTTTTCATTAGCAGATATATACTTTTACAGTATAAAAAAATTACCCTTTAATGTTTATTTTTGGTAAATGTAAACTATATTTTCCAGTTAATGTCATCAGCCAAGAAACATGGGTTACAGTGCCTTCAAGTACATTGTCTCATGTGTTGTTATACCCGAAAGAAGTACAAGTATCCCTGCCTGAAAGTAGTTGGCATTCTTCATAAAACTGGCTCACTAAGTGATTCGAGAAAATAAAATGTAGCTCCATGACGGTAGGGACTTCAGTTTTGGTTCATTGCAATAGTTGAGCATCTCAAAGTACTACCTAGTACACTGGAGACACTTGGTAAATTCTAGGTAGTTTGGGCAGGTAGATGGATGACACATGACATTGATACCATTTCAGTTTAAGTGCTAAATTATGTAAATCACTGTGAAGTCCAAGGGATGTTAAGGGAGAGATTTTTATAGTTAAATAGTAGTTGATGAAAACTTGAATGGAGCTGATGGGACTGAGAGCTGTAGAAGATGGTAACACTTAGATTTGAAGAGAATGCCATAATAGCACAGGTGTAAGGATGAGCTAACACAGTCGCAGAAAAAGTTCCTCTTAATAGAGAACAAAGTATACCGATAAAATGGAGCTAGCTTATACTTTAAAAACAAAATTAAGAGTGAAAAGGCAAATGAGGGCTTGCATATCAGTTGCCTTTCAAAAGGGTATTGGGGGGGGAGGGCTTATTAGCCCTGAGAAAAATATTCGTATGTATTAACATTTTTTGAGCAAAGAACAAATGCCAATAAACCAGTGTGCTTCAAATCCAGCCTCGGAGATAGTTTGCATAAAACAGTCTAATGAATGAAGTATTTGTTGGTTTGTCCACATACTCATGGATTTTTATCACAGGCTTTTTGTCTGCACTGGTAAGCATGGAAGGGAGGGTTATATAACTTTATGGAACTGTCACTATAGAAACATTCAAGTATCAGAGATTACATTATCTCAGACATATATACCAAACATCATTATAAGACTTTTATGCACTATATTGAGTACATTGCTTTCTTTTTTAAATTTTTGAGCTGAGGTTACTCCATTTTATAAGTAAGGCCAGATGGATAAATGGCTGCCATATACCTGAGGTGGAGGCAGAACCGATCAAGTGCCTTTATGCTTAGTTTGGTACTTTTTATACATAATTCTTTCATTTCCTGGGTTAGCTGTGCTCCTTGTTTTGCTTTCTTCAAACTCTTCCCATTACTTATTTTAACCTTTTGACCCTTCTGTCCCTCCAGCTGCATGGAAGGCTTAACTTCAGTCCCTCCACAGTCCTACCTCCAAGATTTTAAATTTATCCTAATCGTTAAGCATCCTTTCCTTTCATGTCTAGCCGTTCTGCCAGTGCCCTTGATACTTTTCTGTCTTCAGGACCTTGAACTACAGAATCTTGGTCTCTGCTCCCTCCTTTTCTCCTGCCTCCTTTTTAACAATATATGTTCTAGATTCATTTTAAATTTAAAAAAAGCTTCCAGAGACCATCTCACTGAATCTTCACAGATTTTTTAAAGTAAATGTTTCTTGAGCTCCCAACATGTATCATGACCTTTATAGACCCAGGACTTAGAGCAGTAAATTTAAGGTCCTGGACCTCAGATTCTAGTTGGAGACATGGTAGGAAAAACATTTTCTAAGAGTGAAAATTGCTCTAAAGAAAGTGAAACAGTAATTCATTATAAGGTGACATTTGGGCTGAGACCCAAAAAGCCAAAAGGAGATAATCATGCTTTGTTCAGGGAGAAGAGCATTCCAGGCTGAATGAGACAGCAAATATAAGGACCCTGTACTATAACCAAGCTTAGCCTTTCTGAGGTAATAGCAACAAAGCCAGGGTTGAGTGTAACACAAAAGGGGGAGAGTGGGGAGGACACGAGATCAGAAGGATAAATGAAGACAACAGAATAAAATCTAAATTATATTCTAAGTGACAAGAGCAATTGGAGAATTTTAAGTTGGGAAATGGTATAATCTAGCTTCTGTTTTTAGAAAAATTGGACAATGGGAAGTGATGGAAGTAGGGTGTGAGTTGGTAATCAGATTAGAGATGAAAGTGGCTTCGACTAAGGGCAGTGCTGTGGAGATGAAGAAATGTAGCTAATTTGGGATATATCAATATTTTGAAAGTAATGCCCACCAGTCTTGCTGCTGAATTTAAAAAGGAAAGAGAAAAAAATCAACAGTGAATTTCAGTTGTCTGGCTTTAGCAGCTCATCAGAGGGTAACACCATATACAGTATTTTTAAAGAAATGGTTTAGAAGGGGAAAATGGGTCTGGATGTTGTTAACAAGTTTGAGGTGCTGATTAGACACTGAAGTGAGCTGTTGAGTTAATTAGCATTCTCTCTTTCAATTTCACGAGTGAATATTTCTCTCTCCTTTTAAGACTGTTCACTCCTGGTTTTTCTCCTACTACACGTATACTTAAGTGTTCTCTGCATGTCCCTTTGCTTATCTCTTAAAAGTGGGTCTTCACAGTTTGGATTTTAGAGTGCTTTTGCAGCCTTTCTGACAAAGTACACCTTCTTACTAACAAGTACCCTGTCTCCTCGATCCAGTAATCCCATTTCCTAAGAAAACCACATTATGAGTCCCTTTCCCCAGCCTCCATGTTCTTAACAGCCTGGTAAATTTAACTGATTTCTTTAACCTGCACAATATAGAATCTTTAGTTCATTAATTGGGACAGTTTATTTCCCCAAATACGATACATGTGCATTAAGACATGAATAACTGCAATATATTTCCCAAGAAGCTTTAATAAAATTAAGGACAGTTTACAAGCATACCAATTATAAGATGAAATTTAAATTTACTTGGAAATTGATATTTAGGTTATCTTATTGTTTTAGTAAACCTGTGTGGCTTGTAATCAACCCCTATTGTAAATACACATGTCAAAATAGTAGAAAATAATTTGCCAGATGAATGGATAGGGTAATGTATTAGAGAACTAATGTAACAACAGTTCTGAGCCCCTTGTTGGAATCTGTTAGATTAACTGGCAGAGGGTCAAACTCAACAGACTGTTAGATGTAATTAGTATTCAAATTTGTTGTCATACTGAAGGAAGTTCTAAAGACAAGAACTGCCCCTACTTCTGGTTACTCACAAAGAACCTGTACCCATTCCAGATCCATGGTTTCATAAATAACTAAATTGATATATGCTAGGTAGTTAAAACTAAACATTCTGAAACATTTCTATTTGCATTTTTCCAATAAATTTAACTATTTTGTACTAGATGGGGGCCAGTATATTTGTATTTTAATATTAAATCTTTTGTTTTCTAAATGAGATATAGTTCAAAATCAGAAATACAACTAGAACTGTGCTTTTTTTCTTTAAGGTTTAATGCATGTGCACAATAAACTTGTGGATCCACTATACAGTATGAAAGAAGCAAATTGAAGGAGACTGGATCAAAATTCTGCTTGAATGAACAGAACACTTTTATACATAGATGAATTTTCAGCTATGCAATATGTAAAACTTGGGGAATCTTTGAATATTGTCATTTTTGAAGTCTAATATCTATATGTTAAACATTCCATATTTACAATGTGTCCATTTTATACTAGGGTTTAGACGTACATAATTGGCTCTCACAATTGATCAGCTAGTTGTTACAGAAGCCACAGTCACTCTATAACATAGCACAGAAATGAAATGTCTGCCTGTTTACAAATTTTAAGTCATTTTAAAGGTGACAGTTCTGTACATAAAGTACCATGTATATGACTCCAGTGGCATTATTAGATTTTAATTTTTTAATCACAGGAAGACACTCCAAGCCTTTCAGGTATCAAACCACTATCATTGCAAGCCTTTACTTCCGGAATGCTATCTTTATAATATTCTCTCTGCACAAGCTTTCTGCACGTGGTTGCCTTAGTCATCTTCCTGTAGTAGCATCTGGACATCAAAAGTCCTGCTATATATTGTTGGTACAGAAAATTTGAAGAGACTGCAGTGCCTAAAAGTACAGTTTACGTCCTTTTGGAAAGTATGTATAAGTGCATGTTTTTTGTGCACCACCTTCTGTAGCACTTTTTTAAACAGATGTGCTCTTTAGTTAACGACTTGGGTTCATGCACCTAATTTAAGTATTTTAGCAGTTAGGAGCTTTATACCTAGCAACACACTTAAGGAAATTATTTTTTTTGAAGAAAATTTTCTTATTATCGTTAAACTTCATAAATGGTTAGCTTTATTCCTTACATATATATAATGTCTAAAAGGATCATATGATGAAGTATAATATAAAGTTACTGTAAACTATTTTAGATTGCCATAACAACTTGCATTATTAAATTGCAAATAAAAGTATATTGTTTTTTATCTTTAACTCAAATAAAGCTTATAATAAACAAATGTAAGTTATCTAAATTTTATTTCCAACAGTGAAATTGAACACATACATCTGAAAGAATAACAATTAACAGTAGCTATGAGCTTGCGTTTACTTTTTATTTGTTGTCATTATGCAATTAGATTTAAATTAAAAGACAATGTCTCTGCCTATAATTCTTAGTTCTGCTCCTCGGGGAGTAAAATATGCTTCCTTTTCTCTGCATATTTTGCTTTTTGTAAGTCCACCTAGTAGAAGCATCACTTACACACCTGCTAATTGCCTATGTGATTGAAATGTATTTACAGTTAAGTTCCTTAAAACATTTAAATAGCAAATTTAAAAATAAATAGGACTGTTAAGATAAAATATGCTGCCTTAATTCTAGATAATGAACTTCTAATAGCCTTAAGTATTATAAATGGTTTTTGAACAGTAAGTGCAATCAGCATTATCTCCCAGTCCCACACCTGGTTATACAGTATTGGTTAGTGCAAACTACCTTAGAAGGTCATATAGTTTAGTGAAAAAGCTAAAGATTGGTGCACGGTTCAGCTGTTATTTCTGTGCTTTAAATGTGCTAGCTGAAACAGTCTAAACTCTCCTTTCCATCACTGCCCTGTAAGTTCGAAGTCCATATACTCAAGGTCCACAGCAAACTGCGTTCCTGCTACTTAAAGTCCCTAACTCAGGAGCTAAGCTGCAGTTAAGCAAAAAACTAAGTCTATTGAAGATATTCCCACAAGAGGCAATAAAGCATGGTAGCTAAGAATTGGGGTTTGGAGAAAGAAACCACTGTCTGAATCCCAGCTGTCAAGAGCTGTGATGTTGTTGGACAATACTGATACATAAGTCTGAGCTTCTTCCCCTGTGAAATGGGATGGTAATGGTGCCTGTACCTCCATTGCCATGTAGTTTGAATGAGGGAATTGTCTATAGAGCTCAGCACAGTGGCTGTCACATAGTAAACTCAATAAATGGTGGCTATTCTAATACTAATAGTTTGTTATTTTAACGTACACAAAAATCTTAGTAATATAAGGCCCTCTGGGAGATACACAACTCTCAATCACGTTTAGGAGAGTGGCCAGGGGAGAGAACTTAAGAGTATGCTAAAAAACCTGGAAAATACTTTTCGTACTACTACAAATAAACTTTCCTAAAAAGTCAGAGGTTAAAGGGGGAAAAAAAGTATCCAAACTGTAAGCATACTAATAAGACACAAATACTAAATAGTAGACACACCATACATACTATGTGCCAGGTACCAACTTGTAACTTTCCCCTGGCAATAATGGTAGACGTCTTGTCTTAGAAATTACATTAAAATGCTTTTCTAGTTTCAAAAATACTGCCATTTTCTAAAATATTGATACTTTGGTCATGAGATCTCGTAATTCATCTGTTCTACCAGAGCTAGAAGAAATAGGGAAGACAGTTGATTAATTTATGTAACTAGGACTAAGCCACGGGTTATTTAACCTCCATACACAATTTTAGGTAAATCCCCACTATCTGAATTTATAATTATCTCATAACAACCTTGTATAAAATTTATCACTGACAGTCTTATCCCTAGAAGACATTAACCTCATTCAATTCATTCGAAGTAAAGGACAAAAATCAATGGCTAAATTATTTTATCTTACTGTAATACAGTCTGCCCTCTGGTTTGTTTATTGACTTGGGTAGACATGCTCTGAAAGTAAGACAACCGTTTACTGGCTATGTGACCTTAAGTAAGTTATTTACTCAGTCTCCTCAATTATGAAATCTAGGCAATCATTATTAAACTGTCATTAATAACAGCTGCTGCTAATATCAAACATCACTTTGCACAAATGCATTTTAATTCTCAGAATAAGACAGCCCCATCATTTTAATTTATATGCATATGTAAACTGTCTAGTTTCAAAGTAACATTTGTAAAAATTTTATGAAAAACTACAGCACATGTCTAGATGCTGTTATTTGAATACTTAATAACAGATTCATATATATCTAAATATATCCATCTAACAAGTTGATATTTAAGGTGATTATGAAAATATTGTATCTTGGGCTTGAAACTAGATAGAATCTTAAGTACAGGGCCTTTTAGTGTGAGTAAGGAATATGCTTGAAAAATTAAGATTCACTGAGCACTGACTAGGTGTCATGCAGTCTTCTGAATATTTTAAACATATTTAATCTTCACAGCCTATGGAGGTAAGTAATAGTATAATCCTGATTTTACTAAAGAGTAAACAGACAAAGAGGGTAATTTGGCCAACGTCACTATGCCTAGTGAGTGGTGGAACAGAAATTTGAAACCAGGCAATATGGCTTCAGAATCTATGCTCTTATCTACCCATGACTCTCTTTCAAAGAAAAGCCAAGAGGTTATTTAAAACTGAAAACCTGGAAAGTAACAAGCAAATTTTATAATTTTCATTCTGTTGTGTTCAACATATTATAAATTACAAAGAAAAAATACACAATTTTTAATTTATGAAAATTCCTTATATTTTCCCACCAATTATTTATCAGATTGTGTTTTCAGAACTTTTATAAAAGCATCTTTTGGAACTTCAACATTGCCAACTTTCCTTAATTTTTTCTTTCCTTCTGCTTGTCTCTTCAAAAGTTTCATTTTCCGGGTAATATCACCACCATACTGAAAAACATTTTTAAAAACTACAAGTCCAAATCACTCCACAGAAAAATAATCCTACAATTACCTAGAGACATCAATACAATTACAAAAACTTTACAATTATTACCCATGAAGTAGACACCTGCAAAGTGTCTTCCTAAGGGTAACTTCCAAAGTTACCCCCAAGCAGATCCTAATTTTACTGTCTTCTCAAAAGAATAAAGGCTTTATTTATTTATTTGTTTTTGGAAGAAGATGAAGATCCTCAAGGAAACCCAGTACAACATTATGCATGTCAAGGAAAAGTTATCCATCTCCTTACTGATTCAAGGGCTTGAAATTTTAGATTTAGCTGTAGTCTAATACAGAGACTCACATAGGCTTAAATGTGTCAGTCCCTATGCTAAGGATTTAGAAAAAGCATTTATCATTTAATTCTCATAATAACTTAATCTTTTTTTTTTAATAGACGAAACAGCAAACTTGGCAAATAATGCAGGAGAGATGGATTTCAATTTCAGTTTCAACTCCCATTGTAAGACATAGTTATTGTCTTCAAAATCTGTCCTTATAAATTAAAACAATAAAACATTATCCTGATCATAACTATTATAAAAATGTTCTTAGATAGTTGCACATAAGGAAAATTTTTAAAATAAGATGGGAAAATGTGATCAAAATGAGTATGCTATTATTAAAGTCAAGCTGAAATTTACCTATTTAAAAAGAAAATGTGGAGATGAGATAAAGGGTATTATAAAAACCAGCAATGGAAACCAATGTATTTATACCCCCTCTGATTCTAAACTTATAAAATAGATATATTACAAAATAGAACACATGTAGATACGTACGCATTTTGCCAAAACATTTTTCCTATAGGCTTTCACACTGTAAACGAGAAAGTTCTGTATAAGTACATAGCTTATACTATTTAGAAGTACTTATTTTCAAAATCAATCTCCCCTTTAGTAAACATACTAAGATCAGGTCACGCCTATATAACATTGCCATAAGCAAATAATTAGATAGCTTAAATGCTCTTGTATTTATTTTCATGTATTTGGAATAAAATAGAAAATTAATTCAACACGAGTATCAACACAAACTTTGTTAAGAATAAAAAAAGGTCAAGGCTTGTGGGCAGTCTTGAAGAGGTCAAATTTAAGCATGGTGTGAGCTTGATTACAACAATTATAAAAGGTCATTTCCAGCTCAACCTAAAAATACTACTACTACTACCACTACCACAAAAACTAAAATGGTTATTATCTCATTACTAACTCTACTGAATGTGGGTCAAGAGTGACTAGGAATATAAAGAACGATATATTTTATAAAACCCATTTCAGGGAAAATGAAATAATTTTAATATAGTCATTTAAGCAGCAATAAACTATTTCTATAATGTATCTGAGAAATTTGGAGGATCAAAATTTGAAAACAGCTCCACTTTTTTGTATTCCATAAGAAGACATAAAAGTCTTCTTTAAGGTATTCTCTACCTCAGCACATTTATGTTTGAATGATTATTTGCTAACTGTTTTAAATTGCATTTTCCTGGATGTTCCCTTATTATAAATAAACTTCACTCTGCCTAATCTCTGGGCATTTATGAAACACAAAATAACTAAAGCAAAATGGTGTTAGGAAATGAAATTCACTGCAAATACAGGCTTACAATTTATCCCAAGACTACTACAAACCCCTGAAGCCTAACATGATACCAGCATTCCTCTCTCACCTTTACAATTTACAACCTGACTAGCTCTGAGGAAGTGATATTAAATGCTTCAAGTAAAAATCATAATTTAGTTTTGTCTTTTGGAAGAATTACCTCCAACACCTTTTTAATTCCAGTTCCTATTAGTTTATAATCTACTTAAAGGGATAAAACCATAAAAACTTTATAGAAATTCATTAACCATAAAATTCAGTGGGGTCACTGAATAAAATAAATGGAAATAAAACTCCTCACAGCATATATATTAATAACTAAATAATTATCACCCAAAAGTGTCATATAAGTAATTCAAAGTAACAGTCATCACTTTAGTAGAATTAAGAGATTAATGTATCTATAAGTAGGAATAAAGTTTAGGACAATGTTAAGTTTTTTAATATTCTTTCATTTTCTATGTATATCACGGCTAAAACCAACCAGGGTTGGTTGAAAAATGAATTTCAACTCACGTTTCTCTTGCAATGATTTTGCTTCCAAGAGCAGCTTGAATTGCTATCTCAAACAGCTGCCTAGGAAGAGAATCCTTCAGACGTTCACATATGGCTTTGCCAGCAGAGTATGCTTTGTCTCTGAGATAGAAAAAATGCAGTTATTCACATATCCTAAATAAGAATATTTAAAGTAGCTTTCTAGTTAATATGCATAGTCAATGTAAAGGCTATTAAGGAGATACAAATGGAACTTGTTTAACATAAGCATCACTTAATCTCTGAATCATATATGACCTTTCTGATTGCAAAACTAACAATCTATTACAGAAAATCTAGCAAAACATACATTAGAGAATAAAAACCATCCTTGATGGGCTTCCCTCACCCATAGAATACCACTGTAAAACATTCTAGAATGTCTGTTAAACATATATCCATCCTTGTAGTTATTTTTCTGCATACATATTTATATTTAATTGTTTTTTACAGTTTGGATCATAGTGTTTATGATATATTCTACCCTTTTTTACTTAATAGACATTTTTTACATCACTAAGTATTACTCTACAATATAATTTTAATGGCTTAATAGATTTATTATATGGGTGCCCCATAATTTATTTTAACCAATCCACTATTTCTTGAACATACAAGGGATTTCATTTTTCATTATTATAAAAGTTTTAATGAAAATAAAAAACTTTTTGTTCTCAATTCTAAATTTATCATAGTTTAAAAAACATTTACTTTGTCTCATGTGGTAAGGGAAACATTTCTTTCTATGACACTACTATTTTTGGCTATTGTAATTCTGGTCTCCTTTTAACAGTTTGGAAAGAGAAGCATGGAAAAACAATGGAAGGAAAAACTAGTTCATGGAAATTTAATTACCTTTAATTAAGTTTTCAAAATGTAGCTGTCAAATAAAAATGAGCAACCAATAATTAAATGAAAACATGTCAAAAAGTGGGTACTTTCACATTCTGTGATTAGTTTCTATTCAACTTACTTGTGTACAACAGTTACTAGCTCTTCTACAATATTTCCATTCAGTAGAATATCCATTTTTACAAGTTCCGCAGTCTGGTAGCCTGCATCTTCGTAGTCAAAACTAACAAGGAAAAATGTCCAAGTGATAGATAAACATTATATTTCCCAAGAGATTACATTTTTTTCTTTTCAAAATATCTTTTTTCTATCTCTTGCCATATCCTTACCAAAAGATCTAACTTTCAAACAAAATGTTACATATAAATTTCAGATGAATGGATCTACATGATCACGGTAAGGAACAAACATCCTCATCTTTTTACATTTATGAAATTAGGTACAAAAATCAAGGGGAACATGCTCTACTAAAGGAAGGGGAAAAAACTGTGAAGCCAGGCTAGGAAAATGGATCACTGAAAGAAAATGTCACCTACCCAATGTTCCCTCCTAGCAGCTGGCTGGCTGTAGACAACAGTATGTTCTAGTGAGTCACTCTCAGACTCATGAGTTGGGTTTCTTTTTAGTTTTCTATTACCAGTTAAATAAATGCTATGACAGTGCTAAGCAGCCATTAATAAATGAGACTTCTGGACTTCATATATGGCTCTTCAGTGTGAACCTTCACAAGGCTTTTTTGAGAATGAAATGAGTTAATACATGTAAAGCACGTGAACAGCCTAGTACATAAAAAGTGTTAAGAACAGAGCCTAGCTGAGCACAATATGCATTTAGTGTCAACTATTTCTATTAACGATATGGTCAAAGCTTAAAGTGCTAATCAAAACAGGTTTAACTTACAAAACTGATGTCTTATGAGAAAGAAAATTTCAATTATGCTTTCATGTCTTTCCAATTATGGACGAGAACATGTGTATTCCTCCTGCTTTAATTTTATTTTATTTTATTTATTTATTTATTTATTTTTGCGGTACACGGGCCTCTCACTGTTGTGGCCTCTCCCGGTGCGGAGCACAGGCTCCAGACACGCAGGCTCAGTGGCCATGGCTCATGGGCCTAGCTTCTCCGCGGCATGTGGGATCTTCCCCGACCGGGGCACGAACCCGTGTCCCCTGCATCGGCAGGCGGACTCTCAACCACTGCGCCACCAGGGAAGCCCCTGCCTTAATTTTAAAACAAACCGGTGCCTAGAGTTGCAAATGTTTGGCTTCAAAAGGTTTTCAGCAGGAAGGTCACTAAGTGACACTAATACTCTCTAAAACCTGATTACTGTCTAAACTGTTGCCAAAATCCTTTTTTTTTCAACAAACATCATTAATCATATACTATATAAAGGTACCATGTTAAGTACTATGCAGAATAAGAGGAGATAAGACATAAACTTAGTCCCTAGACTTTCCACCTTGTTTACAGCTTTATAATTTTCTATGCTCCAAAATCTTAGAATTTCAATTTTTTAGAATGCGAAAAATTATCCACATGCATTTTTGAACATAAGAATTACCTTAATTTTGGAAGCTGGAATTATTTTTACATAGTTCAAAATAAACCATGTTCTCTCACTTAATGTGAAATATATTTAATTTTCCAAGCTAAAAGATTTTTAAGACCACTTAACTCAAAGTGGTACCCAAATGCAAACTAGAATTCACACTTTTGTTAAAAGTGTTATAAACACTTAGTAATCATTCTTTTAATTATAGTAGTTGTTTAACAACTTGCTGCCTCAATTCAGTTTATTTTAAATTACACTGCTACTTACTTGCTCAAGCTCTTGTCTGAAAGAAGACATAGGAAAAAAATTCGGTGACGTATTAGAAAAAATAAATTCTCAATACAAATAAAGAAGATTCCTTTGTATCAAGAGTTATGCTGACTCTCTTCACTGAAAAGCTCATTTCACAAAGTAAACTTCCAGGTCACTGTAGCATGTTCTTCAGAACGCTAGGATCTTTCTTTGAATGTTAATTTTAAGTATGAATGTACATTCATGCATGTTTTACAGATGTGAACATTCACTTTTCCATCAACTTCCCCATTATATTTTACATTTCCTTTATATCCTAGTATATGCTATCCAGTATATGTACGATTTTAGGACACTAAAGGCACCTAGAGTCATTTGCCTTAACAAAAAATACTCCCACAATGCTATACTCTTTCTTCAGTTTTACCAGGCTGTTCCTCCATGTACTTTTATGGGATAAGATAATGGTTTTCATGATGCAGACCACTTATTCCTGAGAAGACCAAGTTACTGAAGTGTTCACAAATACAGGGGCACACCTAGCATTTTTTACAGACTAAATATGTACTTCTATTTTCCAAATGTACACAGATGCTCCTAGGATTACATAACATACAAATACATTTTAAAAGTGTCACTGAGGTCATAGTAGCTTTTTCAAATTATTATAATTTTTAATTGAAATACAGGAGTACAACTCCTCTCACGAACAGGGCACTAAAATTTTTGCCATTAAGAGAGGAGTAATAGGGGCTTCCCTGGTGGCGCAGTGGTTGAGAGTCTGCCTGCCGATGCAGGGGACACGGGTTCCTGCCCCGGTCTGGGAAGATCCCACACGCCACGGAGCGGCTGGGCCCGTGAGCCATGGCCGCTGAGCCTGCGCGTCCGGAGCCTGTGCTCCACAACGGGAGAGGCCACAACAGTGAGAGGCCCTCGTACCGCAAAAAAAAAAAAAAAAAAAGAAAGGAGTAATAGTTTGATGAATCAAAGAAATTCATTCTTCCATTAAGCAAATTACAAGTACTCTGTAACACCTATAAGGTTGCTCCAAGCTTTTCTAACCTTACAGTGTGATTCTCAACCATCTTCAAGATCACTGAGATTAAATAAGTGGAGTATTAGTACACACTTGCTTGGTCAATATTTCATAAAAAGTTGTCTAAGTATCAGAGTTTCCCATTAAATTTTTACCTAGCATATCCAGAAGACAGAGATTTCAAAGAATCATAAAAATCCACCACAATTTCATTCAAAGGGAAGAGATATTTAAGCATTATTCTATTTTGATCAATATACATCATATTCTTCTGAACTGCTCTTCGAGCCTGAAAAGGGAATAAAAAATGTATTGAATGATAACCTATTCAAATAATGGTTTATTTAATGAATATAGAAAGATGTCAATTATCAACTTTAAAGAATGGGCAAAACGAAGGTATATTTTTTTAATGATCTAGTAAAAACATCAGACCAATATTTATAATACAGGAAGAACCATTTTGTATCTCAATTACAATATATTTGCTACCAAAGCTTTTAATCCTTTGTCTTTATCAAACTACTTTGTCTTTTTTAATTATACAGTATTTCATTTAACAATAGTCATTTGAGAGTTCTTTTCAATATATGTCAGAATATTTCAAATACGTACTTTTTAAGGACTATGATTATATCAAATTTGTGGATTAAATCATTTATTACAATGTGGCAAGAACTAAAGCAAACTGAGGAATACCTTCCAAACAAAGGTCTCTAAAGTATTATAACTATCTTTCAAATGATACTCAATTTCAAATACTCAAAAAGGCGAAAGGAAATTATACTTTTATCTACTCAAGTTAAAAGGGCATCAAATTCCTTTTCTTTAGGCTAAAATATCAATTCAATAAACTAAAACAGATGATCAAAAATTCTAGCTCTATTTTCTTATTTAAAAATCAAAATACTGTAATTATATATGTATACCTTCATGTATAAATAGGTAAAATATATAAAGATATAGATCTTTATGAAAATTTCTTTTGTTAAATTCAATGTGCACTGCCGAGAGAAACAATTCAAAACCTAAGCTGGGTACCACTGTTTGAGAAGACTAAAGTTTACTTTTGTATCAAACAGTATTACATTTATACCTGGCAAAGCATCATTATTTTTCCAGTATATTCATCTGGTGTGATAATGGTGCCCAAAACAATCGGCTCCAAATATTCTGTTACTTTTGACTTATCAGGGAATTGTGCAGGATTGATGATTGTAATTTCCTTTTCTCTGTATTCCTAAAAATAAGAAAAATCACCAATAGTTAAAAAGAAATCTTAATAATTACAATGTCTTAAAATTTGTTATTTATAATATATATTAGAATTTACTGTTACTGAATGTGTTGGAATAAACACAAAAGAATTCTTAAAGGTTAGAATATTATCTTAACACACTTTAGATTAAAAACTCTCCAACTGTAATCTTTAACATTAATAACCATCATTAATATATTCTGGTTATTGACATTTACTAAAACACATTGTGTACACCACTTACAAAAATATGATGGAAGAATACATTTTAATCTGCCCCTCATAAGGCACTGTAAGTAGTTTCCCAAGTTAATTTTGTTGGAAAATATTTACAGATGCCAGTTAATATTTGTTTAAAATGAATAGATTGCCACTTAGACTGAATACAATATTGTCTCTACTGTTAATTTGAAATCTAAAATTTCCTACAACCACGTAGGACAGAATGCTTTACTTTTCATAAGATGAATTACTTATGACCGAAATTATACTCTTAATCTTTGTGCTGAATTTTGAACAGTATTTTCAGAACTAACTCTACTTTTTACCCTTAGTAACAGACTAGTATTGATAATGTGGACGTTTTATCAGGTTAAGAAAAATACTGCATAAATTAGTTCTCAAGTAACTTCTCCATCATAAGGTAATTCAACTTTTATTACTATTAATCAAGAAATATTTAGTTTTAATAGCTATTCAGCTACTGGTGTACTAAAATATTTCTCTTGTATTCTGCACACACATACACACACACATACATTTATTGAGTTTTCCTTTGTATGCTGACTCACAACAGTACCTTTATCAATTTTGCTGATGAAAGAACAGCTTTATATGGAACAGTAGGTGTTGTCAAAATAACAGAAGCATTATATTCTTGCTCAAGTCGCTGGTTGAAAACTTCCATATGCAAAAGTCCAAGAAATCCTAACCTGGGAGAGAAAAAGCCAAACTCCAAAATGTTTATGTCCCATGGGCTGTATGAATATACTGCTACTTTGTGGGGGAGGAGTGGAATCAAAAGAGTCATTCAATCTATCACATCATAATTAAATGCTAACATAAATTCATTAAATAAGATAAAATCTTCCATTGGTAAAATAGCTTTAAAACTTACCCACAGAACATGAATCCACAGTGAGAAATAGGCAGACATTGTTTAGTTCATTTTACACTAATATGAACTTATCTTCAGAAATGTTAAAGAGCAATACACCATTTAAACTTTACTTTTTGATAAAAATGGAACACTACAACATAACTGAACCTTACCTCCAGCCAGCACCTAGGGCAAGGCTACTATCCCGATGAACTGTCACACTGGAATCATTTAGAGTCAGTTTTTCTATAGCACTCTTCAGGTTATTATATTCAGATTGGTCTATAGGGTACATTCCTGGGGACACAATGATTTCTAATTATCACATGTGAAACGCTGCCTAGAAAAGCTAATATGCACTGCTGCCAAGTTCAAAATTAATCGCTTAGCTTTTAAATTACTTTCTGTATTTCACTGACCAAAATACTGGTTTGCTAAGAAAACTATAAATACTAAGTTAAATCGGCTTCGAAGTATTTTACGAGTTTCATACACTTTGAATTTACCACTAGATTCACACTCAAAGTGATGTTTTTGCTTTTGCAAAAAATACAGAGAAAACAAAAAAGAACCATGGGAATTAAGCCTATCAGGAAAATACATTGTGTTTATTTTAAGAAACAAAAGTGCAAGACATCCACAACCACAAACGAAATTCCATTAGCAGATAAAAAGCAGAGGTAGAAATGAAAACAAGAACTACTGATTCATCAGATTCTCTTTCACCTCAAACCCAAGTCCTCACCTCTTAAGTTCTTCAAAATCCAAATGACTGACTTTGTCTTAACAGGGGCAGGGAGAGTTAAACAACATTTATAATTCCCAATGAGAAATACAAAAGGGAGAAAACAAGGAATGGATACCCAGTACAGAGTAACCAGATGACCTTCAATCAGGTCTTCCTTTTTCAAATGTATGTAATATAATGCAGAAATAAGAGGTTCTGAAGTTATGCATACATGAGGTGACACTCTTCTCTGCCATGCCTACACTAGTATAATACAGTATTAAAGAAAGGCCAGCTAAGGGGAAGGCAGTCAGTAAATGTCCACTGATAATTAGTAATAAAAACATCCTAATTAGGAAAGTATTTCAAACACAATGACCTACTCTCTAGTGAAACAAGAAGGAAGTTCATATTACTGTGCTCTTCCAATATATCAGAGGGCTTGTTTAAAAGGTTAATTTTTAAGAAGTCCTAAAAAAAATTTAGGAAATTATCTCCCACATAAAGTTTCACCATACATATGCAATTAACTGCTATGTAAATAGCACACCCACAAAAAAAAAAAATTAAGAAAACTAGAGTAACTGTTATTTTAACAGGAATTAGCTGCTCTTTAAAATGAGTATTTCTAATAATTTTTATTTCAATTTAGAGTAAACTGGCCCTTATCCTTTGAATATGTGCGCTCCTCACCTGCAAATACCATTGGCTTCGCTGATTTAAACCCAGGCAAGGGTTCCACTGGTTGTTTATGTAAATATAATGTATCTCCTATTTGTGCTTCAGTGACATCTTTCATCCCAGCAATCAGATAGCCCACCTGTCCTGCATATCTAAATAAAATTATTATATGGAAATATTTACTGTTTTCATGTTTCATGTGCACACTCACAATTAGCTCTGCTCTTCTAGGAAATGATCACACTTTCCAGACAAAACCTCATCAAACTGAAACTAAGTGCTACATATCAATTCTCAACTCTAAGAATCGTCAGCAAAAGAACATCCCATGCCTTACAATCCATTACCAAGGACCTCTGCAATACAATAAGCCTAGGGACCTTCTTAATGACTCTGCCCACCTCTGCATATTAAACAACAGTGAAACTGATAAATGCAGAAACATAAAAGGCTCCTTGTAATATTTGTTTTATTAGTGAATTATATTACAAATGTCCTTTAAAAAAGAAAAGAACAATTTTAACCAAGCAAAAAAATATGAACTCTCAACAAATCTGATTATCTGTTTGATATGCCTCTTGCAGGAAGAGCAAATCCAAGATTTCAGAGTTGTAGCTTTTTTTTTTTTTAAAGCAAACTTCCTAAATGATAATTTCCATTTAGGATGAGGTACAAAAATCTTTACTAAAGATGCAGTAATTGTCAATATATATGCGACACAATATAGACAGACTTTGCATAGCACAGGGAATTATAGCCATTATCTTGCAATAACTCTTAATGTATAATCTATAAAAATACTGAACCATAATGCTGTACGCCTGAAACTAATATAATACTGTAAATCAACTATACTTAAATAAGAATATAGACAGATTTTAGAAATATTTGAGAAAATTACAATAGACTTTATGACTTTCAATTACCTAAAAAAATGACAAAATAGTGCAGTTTTAGACATACAACATTAAACTATCAATTGTGACCTATATAGTCACCTGGTTCATATCCTGAATTTGACAAATGATGAAACAAAGACCTTAGAAAACTATGTGCCCAAGGTAATCTATCTTAGTATCTGGCGTACTGATGGAATAGGCACTCAATAAATATTTGTTTTATAAGTGAACTCAGAACTCAGTTTTATAATGTACACTACCTTGCTAACCTCAAACGCCATAAATTCTTGTTAATCAAAGTTTTACCATGAATTCCACACTAAAGAAAACAATTATCGAATTTTCCTTCACTATTTTATGTTGAAAAATCTAATTACAAAAAAATTAAATGTCAAAAATTGATACCCAGTATGGATATGGATATGGATGAGAGAATTATCTCTTTCACTATCTCATCAAGTACATCAATGTTGGACCCAGTCTGCAACCAGAATATAAAATTAGTTGTGGCTAGTCAAAAGGAATAAAAAAATACATCAAATCCCTACTGTTCCTCACACATGAGATTCTTTTTCAAAGAGGATTCACTATGTAGTTGCATTCAATAATCAGGTTTTGTTTTTTTTCTAAGTTATCAAATTGGGATCATTCTAAGCGCACCAAGTTAAGAAAGGCTGTGACAGAAACACATACAAGTGTCTTTTAATTACTAATGCAGATTACTTACAGTTTGTGAGTTGGCTGCTCATTAGGATTCAGAACTCCTACTTCGTTAACTTCATATGTCTTTTGAGTATGCGCAGATACAATTTTATCTCCTTTGGAAACCACTCCATCAAATAATGCTACATTGGCAATCACACCCCTATACTGGTCAAAGGTGGAGTCAAATACCAAAGCTCTCAAGGGATTTTTGCGATGCACTTTAGGACTATTAAAAATAAGTAAAGAACAAACACTAATAAATTAAATTTAAATAATAAATAAATTAAAATCTTAATATAATGCCTTTTTAACTCAAATATTATGCTTAATTTATTCTAGTACAGTTGATTAACTGACAGCTAAAATAAAAGGACCTTTCTATAAGGTATAATGCCTATATTAGTTTTAATTTGACCTCAAGTTTTAAATACATTTTAAATGACTGTTTTTAAATTACTTATGAAACTGATTAAATATATTTGTTCAGGATTAAGAAAAAACAATAATTACCAATGTATTCAAGTCTATTGCAATAATTGTTAAGAGATCTCTATCATCCTTTTTTCTTTTATTTTTCTATACTGTATTTGCCTTCTATATGTTACTAAAAATAAATTAAAAATTTATTCTCACTGACTGCAAAGAGTACATTTGCCATAGCTACTAAGCTAAAATAGCAGATCAAACTGATGGACCTTGTACTGTTAAACAAATAGTATAAAAAGAGCAAAATACATACGGGGGTATTCTTTTGATGACTGCCTGAAGAACACTTTCAACATTCGTTCCAAGTTTAGCAGAAATCTAAAAATATGTATGTGAAACAAACACTGAAAAAGTTAAGACTTCACTTTTCTATCCTTGTGACTGAGCTTTATAATTAGAAGGGAAAAAGAACTCTAAAAGTTATCAATTTGCTTGAAGAACTTGGTAAAAGGAAGCACAAAGCATATAACATCAACAACTGCCCTTCCATTACAGATAGGTGATTCTCTGGTATTAAATTACAAAAGCATTCTGATTATGGTATTGAAAGAACAGTGGACTAAGAGTTCAAAAAAATCTGGGTTATAATTATCACTCCACATGTAATAAATGACTTCAAACAATACACATTTCTTTAAGCTTCAAATTCTTCATCTGATAAATGAACTGATTTTTCATATTTTACCTAAACCTCAAGGTTGCTGTGTGAATAAGCAATATTTGTGGATATCATACAGGTAACTGTAGGGCATATTATTCCTATTGTTCTCACACTGAAAATACAGGTCAAAAGACTCAAAACACATGTGCATTTGACTCATCTTTGTCATTATCAGTTATTGAACTTATCTCTGAAATCTTTATTTCAAACCCAATTCCCTGAATACTTTCTCTTACCCTTTAAAGTCCCTCTAGGTCAGTTTCTCAACTCGACACTAAGGACATTTTGGGCTGGATAATTCTTTGTTTGGGGGGCTGTTCTATGAACTGTAAGATGCTTAACAGTATCCATGGATTCTCATCTACCCACAAGATGCCAGTAGCATCCATCCCCCAGTGTGACAACAAAAAAGGACTTCAGACATTGCCAAATGTTTCCTAGGGGCAAAACTACCCCCTAATGAGAACCACTGCTTTAGACTCTAGTACATTCTTTGCAACAATCCTTTAAGATCACAACCTCTAATCCACTGAATAGGCTACTTTTTTTTTTCATTATCCATTCACCCCCTGCCTCTTTTCCCAGCTGAGACTCCAAGGGTCAACTGTTTGTAATCACTCTGTTTAACTACTTTTTATTCTCTATCCTAAGCAGTTGGTAAAACCTCAACTGTGACTGCATCCAACTATGTGCCTTTTCTATGCCTATAATCAGAGCAGCTTAACATTGCTGGAGAAAAGTCAAGTAACTGGTCTGGCTGGTTTCTGTAAGTTCATGACCACAGATCTCAATGTGCAGTTAACATTTCCTGGTAGTCCCAGGACACAGCCCTTACTAAATTCACATTGTCGCTCATTAAGATAATTCACACCACCTTCCTTTTCAATCTACACATTTTCCCTATGGCCAATTCACTCTCAGATACGGTTGCCTCTTACTTATTTAAGGAAACAGAAAACATCAAAAACTCCTTTACCCAAACATACAAATCCATCTGTACCTGTATACACAACCTCTTTGCCTTCTCTCTTGTTACAATCTATATTCTCACCTCTCTGAAAACTCAATCCTTGCATCCTCCTCTTCTGAATCCTACTCTCTAATCCTTCTCAAATTCTTACTCAAAACCCCCTACAAATTGATAATAATGTAGTGTAGTCTGGCTTCTAGGACCTCTTTTTCTACCTACACTTCCTCCCTAGGAAACGGCATCCATTTCTGTGGCCTCAGTACTACATACATGCTAGAGACTCTTAAATATCTTTGACTCAGCCCTCTCCACAAATGCCAGAATTGTAGATTTATGCAATATCTCTACTTGGATGTCTAACAGACATTTCAAATCCACTATGTCCAAAACAGAGCTTTTCATTTTCCCACTATGTCTGTTCCTCCCCGAGTCCTCTCCATATTAACAAATACCAGTATTCAACCAGATGCTCAAATCCAAACCCTCCATGATTCTTTATTTCACTTCCTTACACATAACACACCAGCAAAATCTACTGTATCCACAAAATACACATCAAATTTGCCCACTTCTTCAACATCAGCAGCACATACTTAGCCACCACCATTTTGCACCTGGGCTACTACTACAAGCTGGTTTCCCCATATCTCCTCTTACCCTTTTTCAATCCATTCTCTATAAGGCAACCTGAATGATCAGCTTATTTTCCTCTCTTGCTTTAAAATTCTTTCATTATCTTAAAAATTTTAAACCCTTTAGCACAGCAAGAGTCCCAGAATGACTTGATTCCCACCTAACCTACAAAGCTGTTTCATCTAACTTGCCTTCTTTCTGTTCCTTAAACATGCCAAACCTTGCCAAACATGCCAAGCCTTTACACTTGCTCCTTCCTCTTCCAGAAATGCATTTCTCCCAACTCTTCATTTCTTCAAGTCTCAGTTCATCAGAGAAGAATTCCCTAAGTTACTCTGCATCACAGCTCCTCTCTGAGAAAAAGACCTTTTTCATTAAGTATGGTAATTCCACCTGGAACAATACACTCCATTAATGTATTTCCTTGATAACATATGTCTCATTCAATAATTACTATACTTACTTCTCTTTTTACTTATTCAATGAGTGCCTCCCCAAGCAGAATATAAACACGAGACAGAGGTCTTGCCTGTACTGTTCACTGCTATTGTCCCTAGCTGGCACACACCAAATTAAGTATATGAATGAATTTTGTAAATATTTATTAAAATCTGAACAGTTAATTATACTTCAATATAACATAATCCAAGTCATGATACCATAATTTCAGAACTGCCTTACAATGAGGTCCCTCTTCATAATAAAACCCACTAAATTCTACGTATATATCCAAGAAAAAAATTATTGCTTTTTCTAGTTATTACCAAGTTTATATAATCATCCAATGTGTTAAAATTTAAAAAACCAAAAAAACCCACTTCATCAGCTGAAACTTGCTTTTTCAAAACTCAGACAAGATTGAAAGTGGAAGCTAAACATTATATTACTGCACTGACAAGACTTACTACACAAGCATGTAGCACAGCTCAGTTCAGTGATGGCTATTTAACACCCAAAGCGCCATTTAAAAGGTAAATTTAAAAATTCAAATTTAAAATAGTATCAACTTTGATATAAATAAAATCTATTTCCAAGAATGATATGTACATATGCCTTGAAATTAGTCTGACCCTGCTCTTCAAAGAGAATATTTCCATAGAGGCAAAATGGCATACAAGAAATAATACTATACAGAGTTGCAGGAGGCCTACATTTTAGTCCTGGCACATTAGCTAACTAGGTCTATAACCTTAAGAAAGTGATAAAATCTTTGACTCTTAGTCTTTTCAACTGTATCATAAGAGTAATTTCTATCTGTAAAATCTTTGACTCTTAGTCTTTTCAACTGTATCATAAGAGTAATTTCTATCTGTCCTAACCATATAATAGGGATTTTTGGCAAAGATCAAATGAAATATCAGTAAAAAGAACTTTGTAGAACTGTAAGATAATAATATACTTAGGCCAATTACCTGAGATTTTTGAAAGTAAAACCAAGTCTTCTAAAAAAAAAGAGTATTTTACCTTAATACATTCATCACTTGGAATATCAAACACCTTTTCAATTTGTTTTTCAACCCTTTCAGGATCAGCATTCTTCAGATCTATCTTAAAAAGAAAAATTAATTATGTCTTAATATAATTAAATTAAAATGTATTATTTATTAGTGGTATTTGGAGATAGATAAAAGCATACCTGCTTTTAAACTAACTGACCCCTTTATGATTTTATTTTCAAAAGTATTAAAATAAGAATAATCTAGAAAAAGGCAATATAATTTTAACAAGCATGGCCACTGAAAATAGGCAGACATCAGAGCAAGCATGAAACTGAGGCAGTTAGCTATTCAAGGCAGAAGAGTTCAATAACACCATATAAACCGATTTTATAAGTTAGATATAACAACAAACTGTCTTACCTATAAGCAACCTTGCTTCTTTTAAACCTAACTTCAATATCAAAAAATAAAACTGAATGCCATGCAGATTTTTAATTAAGACTCTTAATTTATTAATTTTAAAATATAAAAGTAAGCTTTATCAACACTGCTCAATTTAGCACTTAACTGTTAAGTGTCCTGTGTTACACTGTTTCATCCTAGTTCATAAGGTCCTTTTCTTTTCCTTTATATGGTTTAGTCCAACACTATTGTGCCTGCCCTGCCCTTTACTACAGAAACAGCCCCCCATCACTCCATGTAAGTCAGGGAGACCATCTTCTCAACTACATGCCAGGGTATAGGAGTTTGAGTTGCAATTTTATCATATGCAATTCAAAGAAATAAATCCCACCAATATACAACTGACCCTTGAATAACAAGAGTTTCAACCACACAGGTCCACTTGTGTGCAGATTTTTTTTCAATAAATATGTAAAAATACACTTGTAGAACATCATGTGCAAAACTTGTATTGAGTGGATAGCCTATCCCTAGCAAAGGCATAAGATGAGTGATATTTAACATAAAATTAATAATGTGTTGGTTTTCTTACTGTTTTATAACTTTGCTTTCAAAGAATTACATTACCATACAGTATGCCTCTCATAACTGGAGAAACTGCATATCAGCCTATAATTATATATAAGCATATTTTTTTTAAATGTAGTAATGTTTCCAATACTGTTATGAATGTGACTGTAATACTGTATGCCATAAAAACTTTATAAGGATTCATTCATTAGTGTATTTGCTAGGTTTCCATGAAGCAATCACATACAGTATCATACCATAAAGCAATCATATTTCTGCTTCATTATCAATGTGTGAATCATTATACCTGCAAATGAATATGAAGTTCTTTTTCACATTATGTTTTAATTTTTTGATGTCTGGTGTCAGTAATACATATAACATCTACGGTGTTTTGTATCACCTAAGACAATATTGATGTAAGTACTGAGAGATGATTCACCTTATAAACAGATGACATAAACTTAGGGTATTGATAAATAGAGTACTGTAAATATATTTTCTCCTCCTTATGATTTTCTTAGCATTTTATTTTCTTTAGCTTACTTTATTGTAAGAATATAGTATACAATACATATAACTATATATAACATACAAAGTATGCATTAAGAGACTGTTTAAGCTACTGGTAAGGCTTCGGTCAACAGTAGGTCATTAGTAGTTAAGTTTGTGGGGAGTCAAAAGTTACACGCAGATTTTTGACTTTTCCTTTATATAGTTTACAAAGTAAAATAATAAATAGCACTGTTGTCCTAACAAATTACCTTGTTTATGACTGGAATTACCGATAGCTGTGCTTCAAAAGCAAGAAAGAAGTTTGCTACAGTTTGGGCTTGAATACCCTGGAAATAAGACACAAGACACTAAGATGATCATTCCACCATTTATGGCAAAAGTTGTAATTCAAGACCATTCCACACATCCTCATCAAAAGCAAAGGTACAAGGCAAACTATGGTATCTATACTTCCATGCATCTGGATCATTCCCTGTGAAAATTTCTTTCAGTTCAGGAAATGTTTTTTAGAGGGCACTGTATTAGGCTTTGGAGACAAAGCAGTAAAACACAGATCCTTAAAGACCTCTAAGCCTCCCAAAGGACTCTTGTGACACATTTTGTAAAGCCCAGTATATGTATGTAAGGTAGAGACTGACTCTCCCTGACAGGCTCAGGGAAGATTTAACACAAAAACAAAAAAATCTTTGGGTTTTGAATGAAGAGTCTGTGAGAAACTGAAACATATCAAAAGCTTAATTTAAATAGTATATCATAGCTCTTATATTCTCATCTCAATATGTTATTATGGTTATATTTATACCAGAGCACTTGGTAATGTTATTGACATGTTTCTTTAAACCTAACACTTCCCAAATTATTACCTTAAAAACACCCCAAATGACCTCAAAAATAAAGATTTATTTTCAAGTTCTGCTAAAAAATTGAAACCTCAGATTAAGAACTGCTTAAAATTGAGGGTTTTTGGTAGGATGTATATATAACATGACATACTTCAAAAATCTCTTGAACAATTCCTCTTAACATTTTTAAAAGAATGAACTACTCAACTTCACAGACAACTTTAGTGTAATAAAACTTCAAATTAACAGGACCAAAACATAACTTTAAGTAATAAACTAAATCTTATTTTCTTCAAACACAAAAATTCTATTTCCCAAAGCATTTTAAGGAAAACCCTGGAACAACCAAGTAGCATATCACATCATATAAAATTAAAGTACCTACCTCATTTGCATCCACCACAAGTAAAACACCCTGGCAAGCTGAGAGTGACCTGGATACTTCATAACTAAAATCAACATGGCCCTGAGAAACAAAAAATATTAATCCCTCTAAGTGTTGGAGTTTAAATGTTTCTTAGGGAGGAGCACTATGGTAAATCTATTGACTCCACTGGATAAAAAGTTAATAGTTTTCTTTTTTAGCCTGTGCTTGTGAAACAACTGACACGAACATAAGAACACTGAGAAAACAAAAAGCAAAGTGAGGTGTTTAATGTTCAGTTCAAAACCTGAAAAAAGGATTTGTTTGCAGTATTAATACAAGGCTGACTTTAACAATAGAGAAAAAATTGATATTAAATTTACCGGTGTATCGATGAGATTTAAAAGGTACTGCTTTCCTTCATAATCATAGAAGAGAGAGGCTGTCTGTGCTTTAACAGTGATTCCTCTTTCTCGTTCCACTTGCAATTTATCAAGAACTTGTTTATTATTTTTTGTTTTATCAATTGCCCCTATAAATACAAATGTTTATTGATATTTCTGAGCTTTTAAAAAGAGACAATACTGCATATACAATTAAAACCAAACTTTTAAAAAGCATGGTAAAATTATCAATTATTCATTGCCATTAATTAGGTATAGAATATAAAATGAAAATACCTGTTAGTTCCAGGAGCCTGTCTGCTAAAGTACTTTTGCCATGATCCACATGTGCAATGATACTGAAATTTCTAGTGTTTTCAACAGGGAATCTAGACATATCAATTTTTTCCTAGAAAGGGGAGAGACATATTACATTTATGAGTATAAATTGTGCACAATATGAAACAAGTATACTAAATTAAAGAATGTTCTTTTAGTCTTCTTAGAACAATTTCATTTATAGCATTTATATTGTTTATATTATTCCTCTGACAGTAAAGAGACATATGGCTAAAGTCGTATTACAAGCAATGGATTACAACAGGACCATCAAAAACATTGGTTTCACTGTCAAAGGTGACCATATAGCTAAATAAAAGTCTCATAATATTTCCATCACTCGAGGGCCAATGAGGAACTGAATGTACTTTCATGAATGGAGAACACAAGATACGTAGAACTCCTCTACAGCCTTAGAGCAGCGGTCCCCAACCTTTTTCGCACCAGGGACCGGTTTCATGGAAGACAATTGTTCCATGGATGGGGGGCAGGGGGAGGTTCAGGCAGCCATGCGAGTGATGGGGAGCGATGAGGGGAGGCAGATGAAGCTTCCCCCCTGCTGGACCTCACCTCCTGCTGTGCGGCCCGGTTCCTAACAGGCCTCAGACCAATGCTACCACTGCCTTGGAGCACCTGGTCTAACAAAATCTCTTGAAACAAAAAAGCTACAGAGAAGCTGAAAGAATAAAAGGAAAAGTTTTCGCCCCCATCACATATTTAATCAACAGTCTACTTAAAAATCTGTGCTCCTAGTAGAGCCTTCAGAAGTTTAATTTAGATGATTTTGTTATTTGACAACTTCTTTGGAGAGAGAGAAGGAAAAAATATGACCACATCAGGAAAAAAAGCCTCTTTTTTTATCACTTTAATTCTTAAAATATTTTGAAAAGTTAACTTCTGATTTTTAGTTGCATACACCTTTACTGTTTTACTGAGACTCACTGCAAATTGCTAAAAACTGGTATTTAAGCAGATATGTCAGTTTTTTGTACTCAAAACATTTCATTTTTCCAATCAAATTTTTATCTCCTAAACAGCAAAAAAAAAAATGAAATTACAATGAAATACACAACTCTCATGAGCTTAAGTTTCCTTTTTTTTTGTAAGTGCTCCAATACAAGGCGCACAATAAGAGTGCAACTACATCTGAAAGGAATTCTGCAAAAAAACTAAACCTGATTTGTTTGCCCCGTGGATTTCCCCCCCACCATTCAATTCAAAAGATATACAGTCCTGCACCATTTTTAATATCTGGGAATTGCAACATAAATCCATTTTACATTCCACAGGCATTTTAGAAAAGGGTAAAACCGAATAATTATAGTCTTTTTTATCCGCAGTTACTCATAACTTGCATTCAGTTACTTTACTGCCTAAACTGTTATCTCTTCACAGTTATCAGACAGTATAGTTTTTAAGAGTCGCTGGAGCCCCACCTCCTCCAACCACAGGAATAGTTAGAACTGCACAAGCCTGCTCCGGCTGAGGCTAAACGAAATAATAAAACAGAAGCTAAGGCATACCCAGCACTCCTTACAGTCTACGTACTGGGCTAAAAGGTCTGTGCCTTACACCGCGCAAGCCTCACAAACAGCCATTCGGAGTTTTATGAGCATCTCATTCAACAACCGAAGAAGCAGTCACAGAAAGGTCAGGTAACTTGCCCAAGTCCCATGGCTAAAAAGTTGCACGAAAATGGAACGAGCAGCTTCCCCAATAGGCTTTTAAAATTAAATACATGCTGAGACCAGCACCTCGCATAAACAATAAAAGAGTTCTGATATCACCAATGAGGAAAGTTAGAGCGTGACTTGCCCAAGGTCACACTGGTGAGCAATGGAGTCAGAAACCCGCGCGGTGCCCGCACCCTTCTCAGAAGCGCAGCCTGCGTTCACAGGTAGTCCTAGGAAGGCCGACACATTCCCAAATTACTTATAAGTAATTTAATATGGATGTTGGTGTATAATTTTTATCTTCATAAAATGGGCGAAGGCATTAGGATTAGAAGTGTTTAAACTGAAAAAGTATCCAAACACAGCAAGTACAACAGTAGCAAAATAAGCCCCCTCCCAAGTTTTAAAACTTGGCTGACGAGAAACTCGGAGGCGGTCACCTTGCGGTCCGCGGAGCTGTAGCTCCTGTCTGGAGTCTTGGACTCGGCTGCAGTTCCCCGGGTCGGCGCGGGGCGAGGCCCGGGCAGCCCCCGACGCGCCGCTCGGGTGGCCCAAGCCGCCAGCGCGCTTCTGCGCCAGCAGCCCTGACCTGCAAGCGTCCACATCCCCCCGCGCAACAGAATCGTCAGGAGAGGGTCCCGAGACGCGACGGCGTCATCACTCCCGGCTCCGTTTCCTCCAAGACGCCCCCGCTACGAGCTGAAAGACAGGATTCAAACACGCTTTCGGAAGCAGAGAGGAAGACTTAAGCTGTGAACCACGGCCCAACTAGCTGCCCCGGCAGAACGCCCAAGACGCTCGGCGACTCGCTGACGTCCGGACGTGGCATGACGTCTTGACGTCGCATGACGTCTTGACGTCAGCGTGCCTCCGCGCGGAGCTCTAAGGAAGTCACGTGAGGGAAGCTCTCGCGGGCTGTGTTAGCAGTGCTCTTAGCGAAACCTTGGGGGTTAACCTACCAAGTGGTAAAGTACGAGAGTAACTTTTAAAATCTGGAAGCTGAGGTGTATTCTCCATGTTATCTGCGGTATCGCTAGTATTGAAGTGCATCCGAATGGAAACGGGCAGTAAAATTTATTGCAATAATGTATCCTAGGAAAGTTTGGGCCAGAAGTGAAGGAGGAAAAAAATTACATCCTGAAAGCCCTCAATCTCTATCACCTTCGGGTTACCACTTCAACAGTGTTTACCTTGTGGGGCAGGCAGAGCTCTAAGGTGGAGGATAATGATAAGAGATAATGAGACCTGTATGCCACATCTAGTGTCTGTCTCCCACTATCTCCCGTGGGCTTTTATGCAATATCCAGGGTCTGGTACAGAAGAAAAGCAGCAGCTGTGTTGAGTTCACCATTGTACTGTTTCTAGTTTTTTCTTGGGACTACTGTAAAATAATACTTGATACATCACTAATTGCTACTGTCATCTTACAGAATGAACTTAATAGCCACCTTGAAATGTATTGAACACAATCGTTTCTAATAATTCATATAAGTTAGTGTTGCCCAAATTTCAGTAATTTGCATATTTTCCTCGATTTTCACCATGTCCTCATACCACTATTAATACGTGATATTTTTCTTTAAATCAACTTACCTTTTATACTTGAATGAGTTTATTTTAAAAGAAAAATTTGTATCATTTTCTATAAATGGAAAAAGCACTGTGACCTGTCCTAAATTTCAAAGTAAAAATAAGTGTAATTAATAATAAATGTGATTCAATTCTAAATAAATGTTACCTGATAAACGCTCAGAATCTCTCTTGATTAAAAATGGGGATGAATAAGCATTAAAGAATTTTAAAACATAGGACCAGACTGAGATAATTCTTCTTGACCTAATCAGCAGTATTGAAGTAAAACTGAAAGAAGAATTTTCTCTGTATGATTCAGTGTCCTTAATGCCACGTCTATGTTCAGCCTAAAATTATCTTGGTACCTCCATTAGTCTCACACTTTGGGAATACTGTAATATCTTATGTGGTTGACATTATCCTCCCAGACCCAAGATGAAATATGTATTTATTAGAAAAATACTGAGCATGCCTGTCATGTAATGTACTAGATGTGCAAACTCAGACAAATTAAGCAAATTGTCTGAAATTGTATAATAGGTAAATGGGAAAAAATCTATATTTGAATTCAGATTAAAAACCAAAGCTCAAACCTCTACAATACCTTTGACAACACGAGATCGTTTAGTATTCAACCTGGGAAGAAAGGGGAAGTGGAGTCACTCTAAGTTTCAAAGTTGAGGTATCATTTTTTTTCTGGACCTTGAAGGATAAAAAGTTTTTCTGAAAGAGATAACTGGAGCCTAATCAAGCAGAGGGATCATTGCTAGCATAATTGTACTTCCTATGTTCCCAATACTATTCTACACACTTTGTATGTATCAACTCAATTCTTACAGAGCCCTCTAATGCAAGTACTCTTATGATTGTTTCTACTGTACACATATCTGAGAAAAATGTGGCCCAGGCTTTTTAAGTAACTGCCTAAAGTCACACAGTTAGTGATGAAGTGGGCTGTGAGCCCAGGTGGACTGGCTCTACACCCTTAACCACTCCATTAAACTCTGCTGAGCGAGGGTGAATGAGTAAGCAGGTATGACATTGAGTTAATGCTCAGAAGAGGAAAATGGCCAAGATTAGAACCTCGGCGTTTTACTTGAGGCAAGGGTTTCTGAAGAGCACACATAATTAAAAACATAAATGGAGGCTCATTTCCCCATAGAAGGGAATGTATAATAGGGAAGTTACATTCTTGCATAGTACAGTAATCTGCAACTATTGTATTTATGTTTTTAAACATATTTGAAGGGTCTATTGATTTGCTAGGGCTGCAAGAACAAAGTACAGTAGAGGGGGTGGCATAAAACAGAAATTTTTTTTCTCACCGTTCTGGAGTCTAGAAGTCTGAGATCAAGGTGTCAGCTGTGTTGGTTTTTTCTGAGGCCTTCCTCCTTGGCTTATAGATGACCATCTTCTCCCTGTGTCTCCATATGGTCTTCTCTCAATACCTGTCTGTGTCCTAATCTCCTCTTCTGATAAGGACACCAGTCATATTGGATTTGGGCCCACTCTAATGACCTGTTTTTAACTTAATTACCTCTTTAAAGACTTTATCTTTAAATATGGTCACATTCTGAGGTGTACTAGGGGTTAAGACTTCAACATGTGAACTTTAAATATCAATTCAGCCCATAAGAAAGGGAATAATAAATTTAAAAATTATATATATAAACAACAATTTTTATCACCTCTAAATTCTGTTTCAAAGTTACTGATATGTTGGAGCATTTTTAACAGTAATACCATTAATAAATATTTAATATCAGTTCAATAGTTATCACAGGTACACACACAAACTTAGAGCAACTTAACATGATGTTAACAAAGGATCTGGATCTCCAGAGTTGCTATTAACCAGCTAAAATGGTGCCCCAACATGTCTACAGTGGAAAATACAGCTTGGAATTCACGTTTCAGTTAGTTTCTTAAGTCTTCTGTGACTTTTTTTTTTGATTTTCATATTGTTTTTCAAATTGTGCACATAAATTAAGGCTTTATAAATATTTTATATCAGAAAATAGCAAGTATCTGGGGAAAGGAGGAGAAAAATTGGCTGGTGTTATATATGGAAAGAACAGTTTCAGCCAAGTTTCTGAAGGACCTTGGATAGGGTCTTTGCTACTTACCGTTTCACTATCATTCCGTGCAGAAGTGATTGTAAGGAAATAACACAGGTTTTCCTTAGGAAGCCTACTATGACAATGGTGTGTAAATGAATTGAAGAGGAAAGTGGATGAAGTAATGAGAGAGAAACAGAGGCAGAGAGAGGAGAGTCTTCTATGTTATAATCTAGGTGAGACACAGTAAGGGCCTGAAGGAGTCACTGGAGCGAATAGGGATGAAGGAGTGATTGGTAGACATTTTGAGATAGAATTAACTGAGTTCATTTGATGTAGAGAGAGAGGGAGGCATCCAAATTTTCTAACTCTGCTAGATTGGAGAATGTAATTGCTGTTTACCAAAATGTGAAGCATAGATATTAAATATCTCACAGGTAGTTGTAAATGGAGCTTGGGAAAAAGTTCAGGGCTAGAGTTTTGGAACCATATATAATAAGGTAGTAAAACAAAAACAGCGGTATTGAGTGAGTTTTTGAGGTCAGAGAGTAGAACATAAAATAGTTGAGAAAAGTACTTGCCATATCTTAGGGTATCCTTTTGTGAAATGAGAAAAAAAAGCTTTACAGTCATGGAATAGCTTGTATGGTGTGTGTTGACATTGTTCAGGAACTTCCTTAAGTATCCAAGAGTACAGTATTAAGCCATGAGGATGCAAACATGAAATAGATATGATTTATTTATATACATTTATAAAGAGCTAACTATCTGTCACATACTCTTCTAAGCATGTTATATTACCTCAATTAATCCTCAAAACAGTCCTATGATTAGTATAATTGTCCGTGTTTCACACTTGAAATGTATCAACTGGTCTCTGATTTCCACTCATCACAGGTATTATCTACTGGTTTCAAAAATTCACTAGGACTACAAGGGAAAAAGCAGCATTTCATTCCATTTTGCACTGTTGAAACTTTTGTAGTGGTCTTGTCAGATGAAAACCAACCGGATTACTTTCTAACTTCATGGGATATAGGTCTTTATGGTTTAAAAAGATCCTTAAAAGCAAAGTTTATTGTCCACATATTTCTCAATGAAAAATTGATTCAGGGATTTAGAAATAACTAAAATGACTTGTCTTTGGCATTCTTACTCTTACTGTTTGGGGTGTATAGAAACCTATTTGATGCCCCAGTTTAAAGTCTTTGACCTGCTGAGACGATGGGGTGCTCCTGCATCAAATTAAGTCACACACGAATGGCCCAGAGCTTTGGTTCTCAGTTGGCTAACTTCCATAACCCCAAGGGAAAGCCCAATATTCTTTGGACTGTCGTATGTTTGGGCGCACACAGCTTCACTAGGAAGAAGGTGAAAGTTATGTCCTCTTCCAAGACTATGTCGGTGAGCAACTGTGCTTCATTTAAGAGGACTTCATTAAGAGTTTTGATGGATTTTGCTATAAAAAATTAAATTACTTATAAGTAATTTAATATGGATGTTGGTGTATAATTTTTATCTTCATAAAATGGGGGAAGGCATTAGGATTAGAAGTGTTTAAACTGAAAAAGTATCCAAACCCAACAAGTACAACAGTAGCAAAATAAGAGACAGCAATAAAAGACACATTAGCTCTTACAATGTTTCTACCAGAAGGTGTACTGTCATTCTAGTCAGAATCACATGGCTTTCACACAAAGTCAGCAGGGTCTTCTTCAAAGGAAAAACTAGGTGCTGATAGGAGAGAAAAATGAAGATGGATACTAGGGAACAATAAATGTTCATTACAGGGATGAAAGGATTTGTAAACAACCCAGCAAAGTGCATTTCTAAGTGTACAAAGGCCAAGGAAAATAGGTATTTATTCCTGAAGGGAATTAATTTTTCTGTGACTTCGTCTTAGATAATCACATTAGCATCTAGTTCTTACCTGCTTTATTTTTTGCTTCCCTGACATCTTTTATTCTTTCATTGTGAATCATTACTTGCTGATTAATTTGCCTCTTCTAATTGCTTTGATTCTTAATGTTAGTTTTATTAAACTCTTCACATAAATATTCATTTATTTGAAAGGGAGTTAGTTACTTTAAGGACAGTATCATTTCCAAAATTTTGCGCTTATTTCTCTTTGGCAGTTGTAGAACTTATTTCTTTCTTGCTCCCAAGGAAAGAAATTGTCACATCTAG